ACCGACGCATACTCGACCTTGATCGCAATGTTGCTTCGGAGTTTTCTTCATCCCACTGCAACCTCCTCTCAGATGTCAGCCGTCCTAACAGCAGACAGACTTGAATTCTGCACAAACCTCCGCACCCTCATCAGTCCTTTTCCATGTCCTCCTCTTCTTCGTCTCACACCCCTCGCTCCAACTCTCCTCCTCCACCTCTCGCAGCAGCCCCCAATGCCACCCATCCTGGGCTGGTTGAATCCTTCGCGGGACGGTCCAACCACTACCAACATGTTCCAACATGCTGCTCCAACAAAATCAAAGGTCCCCTTGCCCTGCTGGATGCTGGACCCTCTCAGAAAGCACCATCTTACTCCAGTCTCCACCAATTTCGTCCAGCTGCCCACCCTGCCCCCATGTTCTCCATCACCTTGCACGTAATACAGGGCTACCGTGCATTGCCTGTTGCTATCGACGTTCTGGCTCTTGCTTTCTCCATCTTGGCCTTGCTCTCACTTGCTCTATCTCGCTCCCACACTGCTTCTGCTTCTCTGACTCTATGGCATGCACGCAAGTCTCTATTGAATGATGCCGTAAATACACTCTGTGCTGTCAGTCTCCGCCCCCGGCTGTCTTCAATTACCCCCCGTACCGTATATCTCACCCGTGCTAAACTTATACACATACATACACCCTAAATTGCCCATACTACCTTGCTCTGCGACTGAACCGCTTTGGTCCCAAGCATGACCAGGCAGAAAGAGATGGGCGTCCCGTCTCAAGGTCTGTATAAAAATTGGCTCAGTCTGCCCCATGCAATCAATGTATGAAGCGCTCGCGGTCTGCCCTGCTTCCTTGTCTCTCTGTCCATCTCTCCCTCCTCTGTGTTGATCAACCCTGCAAGTGACGATCAAAGTCATCGCGTGTGGTCCCGGTCAACTTGCCCACCCCCATTGGGTCCCCTACAGAACGAGGCAAACTGGGTCTTTCTTCCCGTCTTCCGGATACCGTACCTGGCTTACCTTACTTCCTTCCCTTGTCTTGGCCCCAACACACGCGCCCGCGCCCTCTCTTTTCCTCTCTTGCGTTCCCTTCCCAGCACACTGCCTGATTACTTGCTTGCCTACCTTCCGTTGCTCGTCGGATGTAAGGTAAAGTAAGGTACAGTCCAGTTGCCCCTGTCCTATGTCGTCCTGCTGCCTTGTCTTGCTCCTCTCCTCAATTCGAGCACGTTCTTTATAAGTGCCTCCTTCCCCATCTTACCTCCTGCTTTTCAGCCTTCCTGGGCAAGGTTGCCAATCAGATACGCACCCCGATCCGTCCTATCCACACACTCCTCCCACTCACGCGCATCCCTCCAACAAGTCCCAACTCAGCACCCTCCACCCCCCCTTCAGGGCCTGATTGCGTCTTGTTCCAACAGCCCTGTTGGTATATAAGTTCATCTTTTGCGTCCAACAAAGCGTCCGGGGGGAGAAAAGGGAAACACAAGAACGCCAACAAAAAAGGGTGCCGCCCACGCCAGTCATGGATCTCACACCACCCTCATTAACAAGGTCTCCGGCGTCTTCAACTCACACCTACTGCCCGTCGGAATCCTCCCTGGACTATCCATCACCAGATCTCGCAACTCAGCAGTACAAACTTGCTTCTTTGTACGCTGCTGGCCAACTCTGCTCTCTCGGACAAACACCTGACGCCGATTCCTCTTTGCCGCCTTTAGATCCCACGACGACAGCTGACTGGACCTCGGCCAGCATCATGGCACCGGCCTCTTCTTCCCTGTCCATTCCAAACGTTCTGTCCTCAGAATACGATCCCTTTTCTGAGTATGACCCGGCCCCGTACGGATCTGAGACGTACCCCCCGCCACCCTCACAACCGTCATCGGTTGTCAACCAACCGCATACTCTCGCAGATGTAACCGGACGCTCGCCAGCACCATCTTCTTCAAGAAGCTCGTTCTCTTATCCGCACGGCGGCGGCCACCCCACAGGTCCCAGGATCAAGATGGAAAACACCAACGACTACGGATCCGGAATCGATGTTTCCCATTACCCGTCACCACGCTCGATGCAAGTCCCGTACATGACGGAGCCCAGCCAGTATGTAAGCCCACATCAGGCCTACCTGTCAGACACCAGCTCTCCTGCATGGTCCAAGACAGAGCTGGATGCCGAACATTACTACCAACATCAAACTCCATTGGGGGATTCGAGTGCATCTGGCAGTCATCATGGCTCAAAGCGCGCGGAGATCAAACCAAACCGGCCAAAGAGGTCGGCGCGGCGGATGACGACCGTAGCGGACGCCAACTACCAATGCGAGGTCAAGGGCTGCGGAAAACTGTTCAGTCGTAGTTACAACTACAAAGCCCACCTGGAGACGCATGACGAGAAGAGAGAATACCCATTCCCCTGTCCAGTCGCCGACTGCAACAAGAAGTTCGTCCGGAAGACAGACCTTCAGAGGCACAACCAGAGCGTTCACATGAAGGAGCGAAACCACAAGTGTGACTACTGTGGTCGTCTATTTGCTCGCAAAGACACTCTTCGGAGGTAAGTTGAAGTGCAAGAATCGTGTTCCAGGGGAGCGTATACTGAGGTTCGTACCAGACACATGGAAGACGGGTGTTCCAAGCGATTCGACGTGGGCACTTGTGACCTTCGCATCGATGGCTATGAAGGGATGAGCGTCAACCGTAACATGGGAGGGTCTATGCATCCGATGGGTCTAGGCCAAGGTACTCTGCCACCGATCACGATGCCCATAGGCAACAACGGTGGTTTGCTGCATCCGGTGGCCTCCTCGAGCAGGGGTAGGAGTGTCATATCCGGCACGAGCGACGCCCACAGCGACCACTGGCCACGATGATGTATGGCTGGGTGTAGGCCAGTTACGGGAAGTACGACGAACGAACACACATGCGTGCGCAAGCTATATAACACGTGGCATGGTATATATTAAGAACATGTCTGTATCATTATATGGGCGGTTGGGATGGATTTATGACCATCTTTCTAGGGTAGATACCTGTAGGCAACGGCGTTTTGGTAGTGGGTTGGCGATAACGAAGGACTGCAGAGGTAAATGACGGAATGCACACAGCAGCAAGTATCCAAAACGGCGCCTTGCGCAGGACATCGTCTCGTGCTCCGATACTGAGATTATGCACGCACGTACGAGACTTTCCGAGAATGGCTCAGCTTCATCGGCGCCGCAACAGTGAAGGCGCGACATTTCCCTGGCCTCAGAATCCTCAAGTGCTGGAGAAGTTTCTGGTACCGGCTAAACGACGACGGTGACCAGCTTGGCAAGCGGCGCCCAAGCCGTTGCCTGTAAACCCTCCTCGCTCATGAGATGTGCCTAAAAGATCCGCATGAGAGCACGCGGTCGGTGACTCATCCCTACCATTTCCTTTGGATATGTAGGTATTCTGCATGCCTGTCTCCTTCCATCCCAACAAGATATTATGTCAATTTTAGGCGCTCGGCGGTCTGTCTTTACGCTCGTTTCTGGTGAGCTTGGATTTGCGTTTTGCGCTACCAAATGGAGCCACTCGGCTGCACAGGTCAAGATATCTGTCTCTATCCATCCCTCAAGAGACAAACCGCCTTACCCCGGGGCCGGATATCATGCTTTTGACAAAAGTAGTCGGTGTACTGGACAATCACGGTAGGTTGGGACGGTGGGGTTTTCCAGATACTATTTTGCGAATCGTGTCTCTGCTACCTTCGTTTTCCATTTCCATCCGGTTCCTTATCACCCATATCCTTTTGATCGTCGATACAGAAGCCCGGAACTTCCTCCCTTCCAAGAACTCTGCAAAAACAAGAAAAAAAGAAAGAAAAAACGTGGCCGTTACCATCCTGAAACCAAGTGCGTCAGTCACTCCAGATAGAGGAGCGTCTGTCCCCAAACACGTTCAACCCAAACCGCGATTCCAATGAGAATTGCCGCTTCTTCTTCTTCTTTTTCTTCTTCACCCTGATTGTTACCAAGCAGCCCATCCGCCTGCTCGTCATTAATGACCAACGAGTGGTCCGTCGCAAAAACTGGAAAGCGGAAGTCGTAAATTTCGTGAACCTCATGATCATACAAGGCTCCAAGCCCCAAAAGGTTGCGGTCCGCCGTGAATGTCGGAATCAGTCCGTGGAGGTCGCGAAGGTGGAGTAAAGAGAGAATTGAGAGAGCAATTGCGAGTCCGCTATCATCATTTCATGCAGATGACGTGGGCCCTTGTAATAGAAGCGACTGAGATAGTCGCGCCTGTGTCGTTGCGAACGGTGATGACAGGTGTAACGACCAACTGAACACGCCAGTGCTCAGCCTGGAGGATGTGAGGGTCAATGTTGGGTGCAACACCGACCATGGTCTGAGTGCTGAAGCGAGCGCCAGCATCGGGAAAGCGAAACTCGAAGGTGCAGCGTGACGTGAACATTTTCGCAGAGATGGACCAGGCCTTTTCGATCATGTCACGAAGAGCATCATCGGCATCATCCAAGTTGGGACCACCCTCGGACTCAGGCAGCATGAGGGGAGCGAGCATCTCGCGCAGTTCGGCTTGGAAGTACTCGATACGGTGGCTGCGATAGGCGTCGTAGCGCTCATGGTTGATGCATGAGTTGACGATCGCCGCGACACGGTCAATGCAAACCTGGAGGGCACCGCCTTGGCCGGCTGTGACTTCTAAGTCAGTGTCAATATCAAGTAGCAGGCAAGGCTGAAAACTTACCAGGGAGGTTGTTCATCTCATAGCGTATCTCACCAATCTGGCGATCAGCGTCAACAGAGAAGCCCTGCCAAGCCTCAAAGACGAAGATGCGATGAACAAGCAAGTCGATAATTGCGCGAGAGATGAGGCAAGCGCGGGTCATGCTGTCGTTCATGTGCTGTCGAATGTAGGACCAGGCTTGGTGCTCGTTAAAAGGAGAGTACAGTGTAGTCATGTAGCGGGCAATCTGAACTTCCGAGAGATGCAACATGACACTTGGGTCGATTGAGGAGGCAAATCGGAGCACCTAGCTCCGGGCCAGACCCCAAACCCCTTCGAAGGCACGAGCATAGCGCTCGTTATCGCCGCTGTCGTCTTGGCCGAAAGCTGCTCCAGAAGCCAAGGTCCCGGTGACACTTGCGGGCTTGCCGACTGATCTGGGGCCGTTGCTGCCATGGCTGAAGGGGCCAGGGGTGAAGCCTCCGTGATTGTACTCAACTGCGTGGTAGTTCTGACCCGAAGATCTGGAGGGGTTATTCCGCTGAGATTGGGAACCACGGTGGGTGGGAGCACTATTGTACTGCTGAGAGGAACCGAAACCAGGGGTTCTCGGGATCAAAGGAGAAGCCCCCGTGAAGCCAGATGAAGGGCCCTCGAAGTTGCCAAATCCAGTACGGCTAACGGAGCGAGGCGTTGGGCTCTCAAAGGGGCCAGTACTGGTGTTGAGGCCACGACGAGAGCCAGCATTTGATCCAGGTCCATAGCTGTAGCTGTAGGAGCTTTCGGCATTGTCAAAACCGCCATTGCTGCTGCTATGTCCGGGATGAAACTCTGGAGCATTGGGACGGAAAGAAGACTGCTGCTGGTTGAATCCTCGGTGACCAATGGCAGTACCAGGGCGAGCTTGCATGGTAAACTGAGCACCATAACCACAAGAAAGGTCAAACTCGTTTGGCTGTTTGTAATCACCATTGAAAGAGCTGCGAGCATCTCCAGATCGCGAGTAGGAGCGAGCTGGCAGCATCGGTTGCTGCATAGAAGCGCCACTTGAAGCACGAGTCCAACCGGCGGAAGAAGTGGTTCTGTTGTCGGCAGGGCGACGAGAATTACTGAACATGCCGGGATAAGAAGTGGGCGGCCCGTTGCGAGAAGATGCGTTGGGCATTCCGGAGATTTGGGACGTCTCTGCATTCTGCTGCTGGTAGTTGAATGGCTGCAGCGCATTGTCCATAGAAGGCATTATCTCACTGTGCTCTGACTTGATGGTAGCGCGTGTGGGAACCAGCTGCTTCTGCACATTCTGAGAGCGAGGAGTCTCATTCCCTTGCTGCTCCAGGGCAGCGATACTGGAAGCGCTCAGGGCGGTGATAACCTTGCCAGGTGAGCCTTCCTCGTTTCGCGTACCCAGCCACTGGGAAGTAGGACGAGATAAGAACTCCTTGACAGTCTAAGATTCACTTATTAGTTTGCTTACAGATTGGGCAGTTCTGAATAGCACATACCTCCACCAAATCCCGCATGATTTCCTGAGTGGTATCTTCTCCGTTGTTCTCATGATCAAGTCTGGCTTGATACTCGCGCAACTTGTTCTTGTACTTCTCAGTCTCCACGTGATAGCAAGCGAGCCGATTCTCGACCTCATCATGCTTGCTCTGGAGCTCGGCATATTCACGCTTGAGGTTGTCGCGCTCCTCAAGCATGATACTTGCCTCCAGCTTCGTGGAGCAAAGGACCTTCTCGTTGTACTCAATATCGAGACGATAGTCAGCGACCTCGTTGATCGCCTGGCGAAGCATGTTGTTGACATCTTGTGCATACTTCTGGAGGCCATCACAAAGATCGTTGGCGATTTTGCTGGGGATTCCTGGAGTGCGACGAATGGCCTGCTGCGTGGTCATGATACCCGCCTGAACCTGACGGGCAGGGATCCAGGCCGGCTTTTCATCTCAAAAATCAGTCATGTTTTCAAACAAGAACGACGTTTGGGGTACTCAAGACGAAAAGGAAAAACATTGAGGGACTTGAAATCCGAAGGGGGTGAAGAGGGGAGGATGGGTAAATCAGGAAGAGGCAGCAACCAGAAGGGGAAGTCGACATACGTGGTTTCGGGCGAGCTCAGAACGGCGATTGTCTCGGATAGGACCGGCCAAAGGGCCGTCGATCTGGCAGTGGGCAGCCATCTCTGCGACAACTGGCTTGGAGTGAGCGAGATTGTTTGCTGCAAGTTTTCCCTTCTCCTCGGAAATTGTAGGAAGAGCTCGTTGGGCACGTCGAACCTCGCTGTCAGGAGCGTTGGGAGTGTTGCCAGGTGCCTTTACAGCAGGAGGGGTTAGCCCAAAGCCGCTTTGGAGCGTCGTAAAGGCCGGCCGATATCCAGCGGAGGAAGGCTCGGCAGTTGGGCGACCGGTAGGAGTTGCCAGAATTGTTCCGTCGGAGCGAGTAGACAACTTACCCGCAGAAAAGCTTGTCGAATTCTGCGAGTGAGAAGGACCGCTGCGTTTGGCACTGCCTTGGCTGGGAGTAGTATGAAATTTTGGCGGGACAGGAAGCTGGTAGTTTTGATGGTAGTCCTGTTGATAGAGCTGGCCAACTCTGCCCTGGCAAAGTTCGGGGCCAAAAACGTCAGGAGGCGACTTCTCGTACACAATAGTACTGGCCGATGAGCTTGGGGTTGAGTGATGGTGCTGGTGGCGCGACGAAGAATTACCAGGAGGTGAGTGGTCGGAAAGGCGCACACCGCCTCGATCCTCTCCGGAGCTGTTACTGTTGTGTCTCAAGTTAGCCATTTTGGTTTCCTTCCTTTGTGGCCGTCACAACGAGGGCACCGCGAGGAAAGGGTGGGTGATCCTATAGCACAGTAGAACCACTTCACACGTGTATGTCGGAAGGGGAAGAACAATAACGACGATGTGCGGAAAGAAGGTAATCAAAGGATGTCTTGGTGGGAAAGGGATATGGGTGGGAGAAAACCTCACATGCGGGAGGTGAGAGATTGTTGATGATTTTTTCGAGTTGTGGATGGAGAGAGATAGCAAGGGGGAAGTAGAGAAAGAAAGGCGCGCCTTCAGACAAAACAATTGACGCTAGCCTTTGCGGGAGTTGCATCAAATTCACTTACTAGAAGTGAAGATGAAAAAAAAAAAAAAAAAAAGGCGGGAGGGGGGGGGGGGGAGCAAGAGGAATAGGCGTGCACCAGCTCTTCACTTAAAGCCCTGTGGCAAAAACAGATAGGTTCCTTCCGTATACTATATGAAAGCAAAGATTTCAGAGGGCAAGAGAGCAGCATGCCTCATGGACCTCCACCATAAGGATCTGGTGGAATGAGAAGGAGGCTAGGGAAGACTGGGGCTTTTGGCAGAGAAAAGAAAACATACATACAAGTTGAGCTCGCGTACCGAGTCCAGCACACAAGACCTTTGCTTTGGGTGGGTAGTTTTTGTTGGTCAAATGTACCAAATGCTGTTGTTGAATCTTGCTAGGGAAGCCGAGGTCCAAGGAGGCTGATCGAAATAGCCCCGAAGCCAGTACCAGGACTATCTATGCCAGCCCGGCGTCTTGGGGGCAGTCGTGGAAAGCACGACCGAACTTGGGAGCAGGAGCGAGACTTATCGATCAAATTACTCTCGGAACCCTTTCAAAGGTACGTTTGCGAAGTTTGAGATTTCCTATTGTTTGCAAAGTGGCGAGCAAAATGCGCAAACCTACGGCGGCAGAGTAAATCTGTACTGTTCTTCCAGGAGTGCACTGCCGACGTTTCCCGATAGGCCACGCTTTCCGGATGGAAACTTTTGGTTGTATTTGCCGGCGCTTAAGACTTGCTGCGAGAGCGTGGATCCTCGTCTCGGGGCACAGAAGGGCAATAACAGGAGAGACTCATGGTGGGGGGAGAGGAGTAAGGTAGTGAGGAAGGAACGGAATGATGACGTGGGTGATGGAGGACGTCGACAACAAAGGTATTCCAAGAGGCAGGAGCTATGAGCACACGAGATCTTGTCTTGTGCCTAACTTGCAGAACAAACGTGTGGGAATAGATATCAGCATGCTATTAATGACGCTGCACTAGGTCTACAGGTCTGGGCATGAAATTACAGGTATTTTGTTCATGGAGTGTTGCAGCAAAAACAAACACCATCTGTTCTATATAAGCTGGCAGACCAGCAGGCCTTCAGAGAGCGCTGCTCAGAATAAGCAAGTGAAATAAGCAGTCTAGTAAAGAGACGTACAAAAACATGTAGGAGCAGTAAAGATGTGGGTGCTCACACTAAACAACGCACAGAAAGAAGAGATGGAGCGCATCATGATAGAAAACCAAATCTGACTGTGAAACATACAAAGGCAGGTTCATCAAGGGCTGCAATCTCACCCGAGAGCGTTGAGGCAGAGAATGCTCAGCAGATCGCAGAGACCAATTCTATCTGCAACTTTGTCAGAAGATATGTGACACATTTCCTATGAATTCGTGTTCTAATACGCGAAATTTAATTTGAACTATGCCTCCCTAAACCTTACCCGGACGCCAACACGGTAGCCTGATACCTGCTCCACACGTAGTGGAGGGCGATGGAGGGTAAAAGAAAGAAAGAAAAAAACTTAAGGTACAGAATCAGCCATAAGTAGTTGGCGATCGAATATGTAATGTAACGTGTTTCTGCTGGAGAATCAGTGTGGTGTCGATCTTTTCTCCTGTGGTGATGATGGGTAGACCTTTGCTCTCTGGCCAGACGGCGACTTGGCCACCGCTCGTTTGGTGGCCTTCGATGGAGACCAGAGCGGGCTCGTCTGTCTCGAGGATCTATTTGGAGTCGCGGAGCGTCGCCTGAATAGTACGGTCAGAAAAAGAAATTGAGGATCATGTGTACCAATGCTTACAGTGAGGAATCCTAGACAATATTTCTTCGACGCCATGAATTAGCTTTCAGATCGCTCGTGTGCGAGAGAACAAACTGCTGTAGACGGCATCTACAACAGGTGACGCGTCGATCATCCTGCCTCCGAAGTAGCGACCGTTGAGACCCCTGATGGCGTTCTCGCCGCCCTGGACCTTGTCGAATTTGAGGTAGATGTCACCCTTGGAGTTAGGATCGACTGCGATGTGTACAACACGACCATATTTCTTTTCGGCTTCTTGTCGCACATCGTCTTCCAGCTCTTTAGCCCAGTCGTCACCATCCTCCCTGTCATCGAGTTAGCATAAATTATCCTGGATTGACGGTGGTGGAACGTACTCTTCGGGATCAAACATGTTGTGCAGCACAACGCATCGGCTAGCCATGCTAACGTTGACCGGTAAGGGCTTAATCTCGGTCTTGGGCTTCAGAACCTGTCGCTCATCTGCTCCGTTCGAAGCTTCATCAGTCCTGGCAAGTTTTCTCATCAGGGCATCACGGCTGTAGTTGTTAAAGTTGACTCCGGCAACATCGGTGTCATCCAGGGCGCTGGCACCACCAGACTTTTCGCTGTCTCGTCCACCGGCACGGTCAAATGCTGATGTCTGCGGGCCACGTCCGCCAGCACCCGAGAATGCAGAGCCTTGATACGCTTGGTTCTGACCAGGGAATCTCTGCAACATGTTGGCAGTGCTCTCAGGGGTGAACTTATCGTTTCCGAGGCCAACACGGATCGGGCGACCAGCAAGGTCGAACCCGTTCATCTTTTCGAGTGCCTCTCTGGCTTGGCTAGCTTCCCGGTACCTGAAGAATGGTTAGCATGGGAATTTGCAGGCAAGGATACGAAAAGCTTACTGCACGAAACCATAGCCTCGGCTGCGTCCATTGTCATCCTTTTGGAGCTGGACAAATTCAAGTTCACCAAAGGGTTCAAAAACAGCCTGCAAATCCTGTTCGGTGACGTTGAAGTGAATGTTGCCAACGTAGAGTCGATGGAAGGGGATCGAGTTTGGGTGTGCGCCGGTAGCGGTCTCGGAGTTGCGGACTTGGCGGTTCTTCTCGGCCTCTGTGAGCTGAACTATGATAGGGATACCTAGCAGTTTCTGCCCAGTAAGTTGAAGAGCTTGAGTGACAGATTCCTCGTTCTTGAATTCAACGTAACCAACTCTGGATGAATCATTAGTATCTGGGTCTGTAGTGTAGAGTGAAGACTTACCCCTTGGATCTTTGGCTGATGCGGTCCTTGACAATCTGGGCCTCGTTGACAGGGCCGACCTTTTCGAAAAATGCCTTCAGGTCGCGAGTGCGAAGACGGGCGGCGAGCTGCTGGACAAAGACAGTGCGGCGGTCCCGTTCATCTTCAGTAAGTTGTGGTGTTGCCTCACGCTTGGAATTCTCATTACGATCGTCGTCCCTTGCCCGGCGATGGTCCCCCGAGTAGCGATCAGAGCGATCCCGACGGTCGCGGTAGTCACGGTCGTCACGCGACGAGCGGTAAGAGCGGTGGGGTGAGCGAGAACGAGAACGAGAGTGTCTGCGTCCGCCTCTGTAGTAGTCACCATCTCCTCTGTGACGACGTGAGTGACGGCGGTCATCATCGCGGCTTCGGCTTCTTCGCCTACTCTTGTGGCTGCCAGCGTCGCTCCGAGGGGTGGATGCCTTGTGTTCTTCCGGTGTGCCACGGCGGCTTCGAGTCGAACTGCGTTCGCGGCGGTCGCGGTCTCGGCGTCGACGGTCGTAGTCGCGGTCGCGGCTTCCATCGCGGCCACGGTCGCGGTCTCGGCGCTCTGGGCGATCTCCATTAGGACGATCTTCCACCTCGGTGGTCTTTGGCTTGCTTTCGGTCGAGCTTTTCGCCGTGGCGTCAAGCAAAGCTTCGACGTCTAAGCCGGACATGTTGACTGGAATTGTGATCAGAGAGAAAGGCGACTATGTTTCCTGTTTCGATGGGGAGGCTGCTCTCTACGGGGCCAGGAGCAGAGTTTTGTCGCAGTGGTGATGGAGGGGAAAGGAGATAATGAGATTCCGTGGGATGGGGGAGGCTGGCTTCGTGTCAGAAGTAACTAGCGCAGCGGATTCACCAGAAAACCTTTGGCCGGCCAGGCAGGCGTGGCTCATGAGTCGGGTTTAGGGACTACGGCACTTTTGGCCAAGCATTAAGGTAGGTATTCGTAGGTACCTTGGGTAGGTGCCTGGTAGTTCCACTAGGTGCCTACCCGACCTTCTTACTTACCTTCCTACATGCTTACCCTGCCAAGCACTGGCTACATGCGGTCATTCGGGTGCCTTACCTAAGCGACCAGGCCTGCACAATCGACCAGAGTCCAGACCGAGCCGCACGGTCTGAGGTCAAACCTGTGCTCCAGGATCTCGTTAGTCACGTGGCTATGCAGAGTAATCATTACCCGTCCCATGCTTCCGAAGTGTTTGTGTTGTCGAACTGACTTCCAACCGGAGGCCCGACCAGACCTCCTTTACGACTGCCCGTGAACTAGTCCGCTTTAACGGTTCGCCGTGGGCTGCGATCATGGCGTCGTTAAGGTTGCCTCGCTGGTTGGGGCACTGAACTTTCGCGTGGAGGCAGATATCAAGCTTGTCAACGCAGCGGTAGTGGCCAAGGACATGGTTTGAAAGATGTAGAACGTGCTTTTCTAATTAAGGCATGGCCTACTGAGTTGTGGTATCATTCAAAAATATTCTGTACTGAACCAGTCGCCATGACAAGATGACGACTCTTCCCATGGCGGTATCATAACTGCCTGGGGCGTTATAATATGCGACAACCACCTTGAAACCGTCTCCTCAAAACGCCTGGCGAAAAGACCCCATTACTGCGTTAGGCACTCCTGCGAGCGTATATACATGGGGGCACATGTTGATAAAGAATGAGCAAAAGTCGCTCTCTTGGGCATTAGAATAGTCCCCCGGATCGTCATCGTGACAAGATGTATGAACGTTGGTCGATGAATTATTGCGTCTTGACAATGGGAGGCAGTTCGGTGCCGAAAATGCTATCCCAGAACCGGCTGGTGACGCCAAAGCCAAGCTCATAGTCAAGGAAGTGGTGCTGAAGGTGGTACTTCTTCAATTCCTTGTACCAGAGCGGCAAGTTCTGGTGGTGAAGGAAGTAGTGCGTCAAGTCGTAGCAGATGTAACCAAAGATGCCTCCGCAATAAACAGCGGTAGCGGCGTGCCAGCTGTACGAAAAAACCCAATGAGCCAGCTTGTAGAACGGCGTGGCGAGAACTACAAAAAGTGTAGGAGGCATGACGAGGCGATACTTGTCCATAGGCAGGTAATGATGGATGCCGTGGAGGAGGAAATGCATGGTAATGCCAACTCGGTTGTCCGGAAGCCACCTGGTTTTCGCTGTTGGTTATCTGGAGTTGCATAGCACATCATAGGGGCAGCTTACTTGTCAAGGTGGAAGAGGAAGCGGTGCAGGATGTACTCGATCAAGCTCCAGAGAAAGAAGCCGAGCCCCCAATAGCAGACCTCCTGGAAGGTGCTGTCCATGCCCTCTCTAGCCAAATGGGTACCGTATGCAACTGGGGGGAGCCACGCCACAGGCACAACCCACCAAGGCGTCTTGGAAAGGGGCTCGAGGAAGTTTCCAAATAGTGGTGCAGACTCGCCGCCCTTGTAATGGCGAGGGCGATGAACCTGATCAAGGTAGAACTCCTTGCTGAAGCCCCCGTACCAGATCTGAGGGAACAGTGGGCGGCTCAAGTCGAGGAACTTGTGTTTCTTGTAGTCATTGGTGTAATCCGTCTCCTTGCTCAAATCCTCCTCGCTAGCCATGCCAGTTCGAGGATGAACCCATCGCTCACCATCCCAGAGCTCGCCATTCTCATTCATCTTTGGCTCGTCCTCATGCTCCTGGGTCTTGGCAGCGCTGTTGCCATTGCCATTCGCATTCCCGTTCACATGTCCATTCGCTTTCCCGTTCGGCTTGTTGGCCGTCCCATTGATTGACTTTTGAGAAATGACGAATCCAACCAAGGAGTCGTCGAGAACTTCGTACGCAGCCTCGGAGTGGGGGTGGGATGTCGGATCGCGCAGGATGGATTCGATGTCCTTGCCGCCGTAGTCGAAGACGAGGTCAGCGCCACCGGGATGGTCCTGGGCGAAGTCGGTTACGTCGTAGACATTTTTGCCAATCGTAACATAACAGGACTTCTTCGAATTATGTGCCTCGACCTCGGCGCGGGTGAAAGTAGGGAGAGTTCTCGACGGCATAGCTGCAGGTGGCGATCGTGAATACGCTGCAACGGAGGCCTGGAGGTGAAACGACTCGGTTGGTGCAGACTGATTGCGACGGCCGATTAGGTGGTTAAGCGGTTGGCCGGGTCCAAACAGGACGAAGTGCAGAGTAGCGGTGGCAGAACAAAGAGAGTGGACGGTTTGGAGTCGCAGCAGGCAGTCGCAGGCGCTGGCGAGGAGGGAAAAAGAAGGGACAAGAGCAGGACCGACGACGCGGGAGAGAGAGGGTATTAAGGTGGTAACCGTGGCACCTTGACAGGTGTGTGTAGTACAGATAAAAGGCGATCTAATGCGAAAAAAAGGAGCCAAAAGCCGGGAGGGCCGGAGGTAGGCAAGAGAGGCCGGGACTGAGGATCGGTGGAACAGGGTGGTGAGAGACGAACGGAGACGGGGGAAGAATTAATTAGGGGGTGCGTTTGATTTGGGGGGATGAGTGGACGGGCAGGTCAGGGAGAAGCTCTCTACGCGATTGCCAATCTCTCTAGACCGAAAATTTACGGCGTGGTGGCGTTACTCTGGCACCTTGCGGAAGCTTGGACAGCCGATTTGTGGTTCCACTGCTCGACAACCTCTGGCGTTTTTTTTCCTCCGTCGATTTTGCTTCCTCTCATCATTCAGGGTTTACTTTGCACTGTGTTGCTTGGATGCAAACCCCGAGATTCCCACCAGGAGCCACGCAGTAGGCTGGTGGAAAGCTGTGCCTGCCTCAGCTCAGCAACAGTCGAACACGTTCCCAAACGGGCAATGAGCGGCGGGGGGTGTGAGTGTGCAGGAGCAGCGGTGTTCGTAAGGGTGCCGGTACAGGTACATATACAGATAGATACAGGTACAGGTACGAAGGCCCGGGGACATAGGGATGAGGGGAGGGAATGGACGGTGACGGGAGTGGGTTCGCAGAAACAAATGGTGAATGAAATGTCAATGAGCATCTGCAAAAGTTGGTGTGGATATGTGGATTCTGAGAGAGCAAACGGCGATGGGCATTGGCAGAAGAAAGAGTTGCATGGCAGTTTGGACCTTTGAGACGGGACTCGGGAGATGGCGACGCTAAGAGCACGCCTCGGCCGTGCCATTAAACAACGATAATCACCGAGCCTCCAGGTCACAGCAATGCAAAAGCAGCCGAGTGTCGGCGCCGCTGGATCGTCCCGGGCTGACGGGTCCGTGCAGGAAATGCTTCTGCGACCTTGTGGTTTTGTTGGACGGGGTCGTGGATTGGGCACATCTACGCAGTAGAGGATGAAGGATGTCGATGCGATGTGAGGCCTCTACACCTCGTACCTTGGGTAGATGGACACAGTAGACGGCGTAGAGTTCTCACATGCGGGCCGTGGCTTGGAAACGAGGGGTAGTCTTGGGGCTTGGGGCTCTTGGTCTTACCTACCTACACCTATCATGGTCGCCTCTACATCTTAGCACCATCGGCAATGGGCCGTGACCCCCAATGAGCAAGATCGCAGCGAGTGCCGTGGCGCCCTCTGGCAGCAGCGGCGGTCTGTGGTCTTCTTAGAGCATTGTTGGGGGCGGCACTCTAGCACTCTGCTTTGCAGCAGAAGCAGCCGGTGTCTTGCAGCGCACATGCAATGCGCTTGGCTTGCAAGATGCGACTTGTGACTTGTTGATGCATTGGACATAGTCCCTCTCTTGAGGAGATGCGTGATAGTGGCGACCTCAATCTCTCACACGTGCATGTGGCCTCCAGGCCTTTGCCAGGGCACACTGTGGCTCCGCCTGCGTGGTAGCTGAAAGCCACGCGTTGTATTCGTCTATATCGACGTCCATCGTTGGCTCCATTCTGTATCTGCTGAGGTAACTACTCACCCTGACAGAGCATTCACTTATGTGTAAATTGAAGCTGTGAACCCGGTTGGCTGTCTACCTACCTACATAAGGTAGTGTGCTTACGCACAACTCCCCCGCACTTGAGCTGCACAAGTCGCTGTCAAATTGAGTTGAAAGTCAAGTCGCGCCCAACTTTTGGAGGAAATGGATGAGGAAACGAACACGGCGGCTAGACCAACCAACCTTGACTGCCAAACATGCTTGATCACCTCACTGGGCTGGCTGTCGAGCTGGGAAGAAGCCTGGACATTGCCAGGCACCCTCCGACTAGCTGCCGGGCACACCCAGGCCTAACCTACCAGACGCGATGTGCTTGGAGAGGAGACCGTCTCACCAGCTGCCGTACAAAGACAGCCCTGCCCTACGAATACCTTTGGCGCTGAGCTCAGCACCATCAACCTTGCAGCTGCGGTGGCACGCTTAAAGAAACAGGAAGTTTCTTCCAGCCACGCATCATTCTATGCGGTATGTGAACCCCGGAAGTTTTACATTGTCAGGCACATTTGTTCGTTGGCATCATGCGGTACGCTTTCACCATCGGAAGACGTCATCATGAAACCCATATGCGTCTACCTGCCACAATGGAATTCTTCTGAACAACATATCTTCTTATGCAATGCCCGGCTGCCTTGACACCGGGTATATGACTATACTTAACAGATACATAAGTATCTAAGGGGGTGCATGAGCAGGGACCATTTTGAAAAGATTTGCCCCCCAGCACAAATTTGTCGCTCGGCGCTTGAGCTTAGAGCATTGACCGATTGCCGCGAGGGAGCCCCTCAGTCGCATACCTTATTTCACTTTACGTTACCCTACAGCAAGGCCAAGCAAAACCAAGCCCACGTCAACCATTGGACAACAGCCAGGGATGGCTACCCGTGTGGCGCAGGCCAATGGCTTGCTCAGCTTCACAGCCAAGTAATCAATTGTTCAGCTCTTCTGTTGGGGCAGTCCTCCGTCTGACCCTAGAGCATAGCCGCACTGGAAGGGCGAGAGTGTGGTGCAGTGCGGTGCAGGACGAGGTCGTCGTCAGCAGTGATCCTGACGTGTGGCGGGGCAGCAAGCTGGGTAGTAATGCGAGGTATCTCATGCTAGAGATGTTGCCCCGCTTGTGCCTCACGTATTATCTAAGACTACCATTTCCCAAGCCCCAGGTTCCGTAGCCAAGCACCCAAGCTTCCACAATCTTTTGCGCGGCACGGCTTTGCCGTTGACGTACGACCCTACCATCCTACCTTACATCACACTGTTAGGTTGTTTGCGAAGACTAGATATCTGGGCAAGAGGCACCAGCAAGAGCTAATAATCCAGTGTTGCTTCAGACAGCCGGGGTAGCCAAACCCAATCTTCCTTTGTCCAGCTAAAACCTTCACCCAGTCCATCTTACTCAAGCTCCCCTCCCTGGCGAGACAGTTCAGCTCGCCGTTTCTTAGCTGAGCTTAGCTCATCTGTCCTACTTGGACCTGAACTTTCCTTCGTCATCCTACCTTACGTTGCTTTCTCACCTTTTACCCCTCCTAGGCTGATTCCCAACCTCGTGGGCCAACAACACCCGATAACAAGGCGACCCCTCCACTGTTTACCGAACATCCGACGCGCCTCTGCGATCGAATCTCACTTCCCTTCTTTCGCACAATCTGAACCTCATTCCCCTGGACATGGCGTCATCCGGTCTTGGGAGAGGGTCTCTTCTCCTTGCCCTCTGCCTTCTCCTGGTGCTTTTACCAGGGCGCGCCGCAGCTTTTGGCGCCGGCAACATTCCCTCCATCGCGCAGGTAGGCGCTTTACCCGAGCACTGTTTAGCTGATGCTCTTTATCTACCACATGTTGCAACTACTGACCACTGGACGATTTTTCAGGTCGAGGGTGTCAATTGGCGTCATGGAGGTACGTTCCTTCTTGCTCCTCTGCTTCTCATAATTACTGATTCGCTGACGTGGTCGCATACAGATATCGAGGATATGCTCAAGACCATCGCCTTCTTGAAAGGCAAGAAGTGGACGTCGATGCTGGTTTCAAGGGTCTACTTCGGCAACTGGCTGCGTGACTACTCTCAGGCTGTCGATGTTGGAAGCTTGAAGGGAGTCAATGCTCCCACAATCAGAATCTTGGTTCGTCTCTCGCGCAATGTTGTCCCCTTCGCTTCTTACCGTTCAATTAGGTCTGGGTGCTTTCCTTCATGGCGTTTGGCTATGCGACTGAGGAATTCGAGGTCACTGAGGAGCGCCTCGGCGTCTACCGTCCCGAGGAGCATATCGACAACCCCCTTGGGTACGCTGACGGCATGGACGCACGCAAGTTTGATCCTCGTCTGCGAGGTCCTGTAGACCCTGTTGAGACCAAAATCGATTCTCGCACCGGCATGAAGAACTATATTGCCAACGAATCAGGTGGTTGGGCAACCAGCGCTGGCTACCTTCGCTTCAGCTTTGCTCGCAGCATCCACTACGGTCGAGTTTACACGAACGGCTCCCGTGGCTCGGGCAAGGAGGACGATCTTTGCGAGGCCCTGCGGTGTCTCGGCCAAGCCCTACACTGCATGGAGGACTTCAGCGCCCATAGCAACTACTGCGAGCTCGCCCTTCGCGAACTCGGTTATCATCAAGTCTACCCCCATTGTGGCGCCGCCACGGAGATCGATCTTCACGGCCGTCGAGTGTTCCCTCTTGTTACCGGAACTTTTGGAGCTGTAGACTTCCTCCACTCGGTCTTGGGCGAGGCTACTGATCACTTCACACAATCCGAGGTCGACGAGATGAACGTAGCGCTTCAGAACGCCGAAGGCCTGACTGGGAACATAGGAGGTGGTTCTTCTGGAGGCTCCTCAAGTGGTCTGGGAAGCATACCCGGACTGGGAAGCCTGGGCAATCTTGCCGGCCTCGGCGGCAACAGTAGCAGCGGCAGCCGTGGACTTTTTGGACTTGGTTCCAGCTCGTCTTCAAATAAGTCAAATGACTTCATCTCCCTTGTTGACCAGCTTCCGGGTATTGGTGGCGGCTTGGCTAAACAAGCCAAGGAGCTACAAGCCCGATCGGCTGAACAAGAGCGGGAAAACCAGAATGTCGGCAACTACTCAAGCAGTCGTGGTGACTTGTCTCGCGACAGCGCCAATCAAGTACCCGGCATGAGTACAAACTTCGACCCTGTCAAGACGGCGAAGAATATCTACCCTATCCTCCAGTTCAGGGATAAGATCGTCAAGTCTATCAGCAACCTCATATCCAAGGTTCCTGGCCTGGAGAAGTTATTGGACCATATTAGTGAGACACTAACAGCCTTCATCCTCGGGCTGCTGGCACCTTTCGTGAGACCGATCATCAACCAAGTCTCCAAGGTCCTCAAGGATGGCTCCTCAACCGTCATCAGTGCAAGTTCCAACTCACAGCTGGAGCCTTGGAAAAATCCGAGCTGCGATGACCCAACTCACTCAATGCTGTCCAAGGACCACTTCACTAACATTCTCAACTCGTGCGCCGGCAGAGTTGCCGCGACTGTTCTGCAATATGTTGTTCCGTAAGTGCCCCCGTGGGGACAACGACATATTGAATAAGTTGCTAACAGAAGGCAGCCGAGTTCTTTATGCTTGGGAGAATCCCGGAGTGCCTGTTGACGAGGTTGTCAACGATGTCCTTCGGGCCTTCCACCACCCGGCTATCCGAGACGAGAGAATTGAGATTCAAAGAAGTATGTTCGAGACGGTTCGCAAGTGGGTCGACGAAAGCCCTCACAAGCATGAGCTGTCCCGCCTTCTGTCGTCTGAGTCTGTCAAGGCCGGTAAGAACCATATTCTGAGCGGCGAGGCCTCCAGAGGCCACGATGGTCCCGGCCACTCTCACGGCGCTTGGGACAGCTTTGGCGAGTTGGGTCATGGGAAGAACAAGGGATCGCTTTGGAGCCAAATCCGGACGAGAGATCTCAACTCAATGGATGGAGACGACAGAAAGCCTCTGTCCAGCTCTCCTCTGCCACCGCAGAATACAAACTACGGCTATGACCAAGACCATAGAGCGAGCAGCCAGCCGTACCCAAGTGGAGGCTACGAATCTTCTCAAGGCCACGCCTCCGGCTATCACAGTCAGCCTGAACCGCAAGGCTATGGTCACCAGCCGCCTCCCCCTCCTCAGGGACAGTGGGGGCCTCCGCAACCTCCTCAGGGGTATGGCGGACCAGGCTATGGCGGCCCTGGATACGGTGGACCACCGCCGGGCCAGTATCCTCCTTATCAGCAACCGCATCACCCCCATCATCCGCAGAGTGGTGGCTGGGGACAATACCCAGGCCAACACCGCTACTAGTCGCGATGCGTTGTAGATTGGGAAGGTTCTGAGGGTCATCGGGACTTGACAGGCGGGCTAAGGCTTGTAAGGGGCTCGGCGGATGACTGGCAATAGGAGGTTCGTCGCAATGGGCACGATGTAGAATGATTCCCACAGACCATGAGTAACATTATTTATTTCATTTCGCAACCAACCAGTGGCATGTCTGACAGAGAAGCGAGAGAAGCAAAATCGGGATGAAGACCTGTACACAACTCACGTTTGTTTGGGTTAACGATGAGAACACATGGAAAGCATCAAAACGACCGAAAGTATCCTGCTACCGCTGTGTTTTTAAACAGTTAACAGAGCCCCTTTGCAGCAATAATTTGGCAAGCATTTGACCAAGGCGAGGCACAGATCTGACCAAAGGGTCGGGAACAACAGTGGAGGCTGGACTTTTCATAATATGGGATCGAACGGCCAAGTCGTTCCTGCTCGCTCTTTTCCAGCCACGCTCCAGCGAGACGTGGGCTTCAGAGGATATGATGATGCGAGCAGGGCCGGGTAAGCTCCGACGAGGAGTAAGACGCTCCGTGCTGACCTCCGATTGCAGCCGGCGGGACATATGCAGACGCAGACACCGCCATCGCTCCGCCGTTCACTGCAGAAACACTCCAACCGCTCCACTGTCTTCACTGACGTCCGCTGATGAAGTTGCTGACTGTCGTGGTGCGTGGACTCGCAATAGATCACCCCCTTCTGCGAGTCAGTATCAAACACCCATCACGGCCCAACGCCTCTCGCGATTCTACTGAACCCGAACCGGCGGCCCCTCTCATCGGCAGCGTATGTCGTCGGCGGCGAGTCCCTCCCAGGCGTTTTCGGCACCGATGACAGCAGGTTTGACTAGAAAGGTATTTTTTATTACCATCCGGACACTTGTCAGATGCTGTGGAGCGGCGTGGTTCTTGTTTGCGCCTAGCAGTCGATGGTGCACTCGGTGGCGTTTCTACTGGCGAGGAGCGCGGTCCGCAGCCAATGGGAAGCTGTCGGTACGAAGCTGGGATGAGTTTTGGATTTTCAAAGGAGGGCGCAGCCATACGTGTGTGTGTGTGTGTGTGTGTGTGTGTGTGTGTGTGAGGCGGCTGGGAAAACGAGCTTGGGCTCGGTAACTTAGCTTAAGAGTAAGCTAGTTTCGGGACGACACCGTTGGACAAAGATTTCCCTCCATTGGTGAGGAGAGAGGGGACCAACAGCTTATCTCTGTCTCTTTCGAGACTGGAGAGGCAAGCTTGAGGCGTCCTCGTGTGCGGCGTACGCGTGTGCGGAGTTCCACGCTGCTGAAGAACTTCTGGATTGATATCTGCAGCAAAGCTGCGTGTGGGCGAATCTAGCATGTTAGCTTACCGGCGCCCACCTGCTTTGCTTGTTCCTGATTCATGTGACGTTGCCAGACCAATCTTTGCATGGTGCCAGCCGTATGCTTCTGAATAGAGGATGAGACCAATCAAAGGAGGGAATGCTTCAAAGTTTCCAACATAAAAAAGGTTCAGGATCACGTAAGCGTAGTCGGTTGACTTGCCGCATTGTCCATCGACAACGGCACTGGAACTGTAATGTGAGCACCGCATGGCCGCGGTCATCTCCTGGAGCAAAGACCGGGGTTGCGTAGGAGCGATTGAGTTCTGGGCTGTATGTTCTAGGACAGATGCCCATGTTGGGTCTTGTTTGCAAAAGATGGGATGATGCAATGAAAGCAAATTGGCTGCTGCTTGTTTGAGAGGTTTCCATGGATAGGTCGAGGCGAAATGGCAAGGGGATCTGGTCAGTGCCCAAAGGCTGTGGAGGGGTTTACAGGAGACATGACGTTTTGCCTGGTGGGCTGGTGGTGTTGATCCCTTGCTTAAAAAAGGAGATGCCGCCGGGACGATATACTCATCTTGATGTTATTGCAATTATCCCTCCTCAGATCTTGACACGTCGGGGCAATCCTGGCCGCTGTCTCTGGCCGTGATTTGCCAACTCCAGACGTCATCTGGGGGGTCAAGGGTATATGTGCCAACGCAGTGGTAATAACGGAGAACTGACACTACTGATGGCCTCCACAACGCGGTTGTCTGCGAATGAACAAAGGCTCGTCCTTGTTGTCAGCTTGCAGGAAAGGAAACAGCGTACAGGTCAGGTGAGGCAGTTCGAAAGACCATCTATCCGTAGGTTGCAAGTCGCATGTAAGCAATGCTACGAAATCTGATGGTTGATACGGGCCGCATGCAGATATGAGGTCTAAATGATCGGCCTTCGGATGTAAAGTGCGGACGGTAGGCAGTCCAGCAGATGTGACCCCGATCTCGAAAGCGCCGGCCCCTCAATACGGGACTTGGGGGCTTGAATAAGCTGTCGGATGTAAACCAAGGTTACACCAATAACGTCAACAGCGGATAACGGAGCAGCGGTGAGTCGCCAATTCGCCTGGCGGCTCTGAACGTTAGCTGGCTCCAAAAGTTTGCGCCAACAAGACCCTGTTACTGTCTGCGGTCTCGACTTCCAGAACGCAGAACACAGTGTGGGTTTCTTGAACCGAGGAGGTCTGCCGGTGCGGCTGCCGATCATTCACAGAATCGGTTCTGTTGCCGTGTTGCTTGGCTGTCCTATTCCCTCCTTGTCCGCCTTCGCGCTTGGATGGGCGCAACCTCTGCGCTTGGTCAAGCGGGTCAACTCCTGCCGATCTGACCAGAGAAGCGTGGGCTTGACGCCATATCGTTACCATCGTCGATCGGCGGGATCGTACGTACGGACACAAGAGATCAGTTGTATCCACGCTGCCTTGGCTGCACACGAACAGGCACGCGCTGGAGATCAGCAGCCTTTTTTTGTGCCAACAGGATACGAAGCGGTCCACAAGCAAAAGCCCACAGTGAGGCAAATCGGCTAGTTTTAGCAATAATTGGCGCTTGCTGAAATGTCGACGTGGGGACAGCTACGGGCGGCAAAATAAACACCGGGAAGGGTTATTTGTGTATGTGCACAGTAACAGTATTGCCTGGGCTGCGAGTAATGAGGAAGAGATTGAGAGTCAAAGGCTGGACTCTAGGAATCAGGACGCGTTGTTGGCAATTGCTCATCATTCCTGACAGGGCGTCAGTTCGACTTCTTCCTCCACGGAACGAGGAAAGAGGACAAGACCCGAGGAAACGGATAGTAGCGGGTGGATGAATGGCCCGACGAACTGTGGACATGGTCGGGAACAATGATGACGGGTACGGGTACTGGGCTGGGCTGGGCTGGGCTGTTGGCCCCGGCATCCGGCGTGGTTTGCCAGGAGGAGGCCTGCAACTTACCCAGCTTACGTAGGTTGGTAGGTCGGACGACGAGGAGAAATTGGGCCAGGCCGGCGCAAGTCGCAGTCACTCTGGATACGAGCAGGGCGGACAGACCCTCTGGTGTCCCCGTCGCGGCGTAGCGAAGCAAATCGCGAATCCCAATCATGAGCTCAATTTGCTATTATTCGAGGGCCTCCAAAAGGAACGAGATCCGTGCATTGCAGTCGGGTGCTGTGCAGTGCAGTGCTGTGCAGTGCTGTGCTGTACCGTGCTATTGGAGGACGGACTCAGGGCAGTCCAACTGTTAACGGAGTCCGGGGATGACTTCCAGGGTGCTTCTTCGTCTGGTCTTTCTGTCCCCCAAGTGAAACCTTACCATCGTGCTTTGCCTTCGTCGCTTGCGTACTCGCCTGGCGTGTCACGTTTGAGAAGTCGTGTCGTGCATTTCCAAGCTTATTGATTTGTCTCCTGTTTCTCGTTGTCGGCCGACATGTGGCAAGGTCTGGAACGCGCAGCACGTTGTGAGCGACTGTCAAGGGCGGCGGGACGGGACTCGAGTCGAGACGAGTCAAGCCGCAAGTGCTTGTCAGGTATTCGTAAACGCAGAGGAGGCGGGCGCCAACGGGCATTCAACTAGATGACATTCAGGACTGAACATTCCCGGGATTTTAATGACGGACAACTGCTTGCCGTGGCCTAGTGAAGGGACCAAGTCCAGGTGCATTCCCTTCGCGCGTCTAAGCCCTTTAGGCTTTTGTGCTGGCCAGGGTACAGAGTACCTCGGGGACTTTGTGGTGCAGGGCAGCCAAAGAAGGCAGTGGTTGCAGCGATTCGCAATTTCGACGGGCATGTGCCGCACTTTCTGCGAGATGACAGAGACATCGGGATGTGATATTGGCGGCACGTCTCGAGACTCGAGTGTTCATTTTGGCCAAGAGACAAACATGATGGTTCTGAAAGAGGTCAAACTTGTTCAAGAGCGTTGAGGGAGGGAGGAAAGGGCTTGGTCGAGTACCTCACCTGGGCTACCTACCTATGTAGAATGAAGTAGGTATCCGCTGTAAGGTGCCGTGCAGTCGGCGCCCGAGCTGCAGATCGGACAAGTCGATATAGGTCGCTTGCCAGGCACGCCGGCGACATGACTGCGGGGGTGACCTCATGCTGTAACCTGCCATTGGAACCATCGCCCGTTGCTGCTGAGCCACTGGCACCCCAAACGGCTGACAACGGGATAGCAGGGGACAGGATGGAACAGGATGGGATGGATGGGATGGATGCGACGGGGTCCGCAAGGTAAGATGGGATGGGATGAGATGCCTGCTATTACCTTACCTACCTTACCTACATTACGTTAGGTACTTGCCCAGGCAAGATGGCTGGCTGGGTTGTGCTGGGCTGTGGAAGCAGAAGGGAAGCCAATGTAGCTGCGCCTGCGCGTCTACCTCTGCGTCCGCATTTGCAATTGCTTCGGATTCCATGTGCGTTTGAGTGCAATGCGAGGACGATGGTGTGTGGTGTGGTGTGGTGTGGTGTGGTTTGGTATGGCGCCTGCTGTGCAGTGCAATTGCAGTAGTAGGCAGTAGTAGCTACCTTACCTACCTTACCTCGTTGCCCGTGTTCACTGCCCGTTCCTGTATTCGTACACGGAAGGGCGAGGGACGGACGGGCAGCTCCACCTGCGATCTCACTTGCTCAAAACATACATATTCCCGGCTTCCTGTCCTGCTCCTTCGGAGCGTTTCTCCCCCTCCCTCCTCCTCCCTTTCGCTGCTTTTCCCCTCCCGTGTCCCTTCCCGCCTCCGTCAACCCCTGCCCTTGCCCTTCCAATTGGCGGCAGCAGCAGCAGCAGCAGTAACAAGTTAGTCGACACGCTTCCAAGAAATCCACGACCTGCTACGAATAATTCGACAGTCCTTCCACCCACCCGTTCGATTACATCCTCCCTTTCCCCTCTGCCCAACTGCTCCTCATATCCCCTCGCTTTCTTCTTCCCTCGTAATTATCTAATCCGTTTCTTCCTTTTTTTGGTCTTTTACTCCTGTCCAATTGATCACTCCTTGCGTCACCGCGATCGACAAGTCGCAACCTCCGCGGCGCTTGCTGCTTCGCCCAACTCGACTTCGGCCCTGCCAACCGCCCGACCTTTTCCGCCGACCCGCGCAGTAGTGTAGTACCTAGGCTACGCGCAGCCGAACCGTCTGCACTTGGTCGCTTTCGCAGGCACCACCTGAACCTGACTCAGCCACCCGCGCCAATTATCGCCCGTTCGTCTTGTCTGAGCAGACTGCGACTCAAACGCGAAACATCTCCCTTTTTCTTCCCCTTCCAGCACGCACTCCAAACAATTGACAACCTGCCGCACCGTGCCACTTGCGAATCAGGCCCTTCGTTGCCGCCTGTTCCACGTGCGTGTCGCCAACTTTCTTCTCAGCGGCCTCATTGAACCCTATCGTTGGCCGCCCGCCGATTGAAGCCGATTGAAATCGACAGCGCGCTGTTTCTAGTCGCCTGCGCGTTGAAACACACCGTACTTGGCCCTGCAGTCTGCACTTTGCGCCAAGATGTATTGGGGGTGAGTTGTCCAACTTTTGTGTTTCCTCTCCATTTTGCCGAGCCAACTACGGCACCTTTGCAGATAGCCAGCTCGCCTTCTGAGCGGAGGGATCCTGAAGCCGTGGCACCCAACTGCCATTCTGTTCTTGAAATCTGCATGCCGTCTCCCCGCGGCTTCAATTCGCATCATCTCTCCTACTCATGCACTTGGCGATGCGACCTCACCACTTCCTAGAACCATCACTAACATGTCGTTTCCCAGTCGGTTTCCGCACCTCTTCTTGAGGCAGGAATCATCTTCCAATGGGACCGTAGCCGCCACCACGCCTGCTGCAACGACTCCTCAAACGACTCAGCAGCAAACCACACCTGCTGCGGCGACAACAACCCCTGCCGCTGAGACCACCACAGCTGCTCCTACAACGCTGATTACCACGACTGCACCTGCGGCTACATCTCAAGTTCAGACAACAACGCAGCAACAGGTTCCGACGACCACGACACAGCAGACCACCCCGCAGACAACCACGGCTGCTGCTGAAACCACACAGCCAGCAACATCGGTTGTCGCAACTACTGTTGTGATTACCCCAACTGTACCCGGGGGCCAGACCAGCACAGTCATCCAAATCATCACACAGACCGAGGCTGCCAACCCCTCCAAGACGACAGGGAGCACCTCTGCATCTGCATCTTCAACGAACGGCGCTTCCAACTCTGGTAGCGATTCGAAAGGCGGTCTCACAGATGGAGGTAAAATCGCTGTCGCTGTGGTTGTTCCCATCGCAGCTGTGGCGCTGCTCATTTTGGCCGGTATTTACTTTTGGCGCAAGAGGAAGCAGCGCAAGCATGCCGAGGAGGAACGCCGGAAGGAGGTTGAAGATTACGCCTACAACCCTAACGCGGACCCCACGATCCCATCTCTTGGTGATGGCGGCTCTTATGAGATGAAAGAGGATGGTTCTGCTGGATACCGCGGATGGGGCACCACCACTCTGGCCGGATCCACCGGACGCAAGGCATCTACGACCATGTCTGGAGGCAACACAGGTGCGGCTCATTCGGACACAACATCACCAACTCGCGGCACTGACACCCGTTCAGGAGAGCCTCTGATCAACGACGGCTCATACTCACCCGACGGCGAGATCCTTGGCGCCATGGGCCCTTCGGCCGCTCTGAATCGTGGACCTGGTGTCCAGCGTGGCCCATCAAACGCATCGTCCTCCTACAGTGCTGGCAACCGCTCCGATACGTCTGATGGTGGCATCGGCATGGCCTACACCGGAGGAGGAGGAGGCAATGCCTACTACGATCAGTACGGCAACAATCCTTACTCCGATAACCCGTACGGCGATCAGCGACCCACCGAGCTTCCCGGCCAACCCGTAATCCGTGACAACCCGGCTCGTCGTAACACCAGGATCGAAAACCCCTCTCACTACCCACAACAACAAAATGCGGGCATCTCGCAGAACTTTTGAAATCTAGCGAGTCACGCTAAAACTTTGTTGATAACCAGTCTGCTGGGGTTTTGTTCTGAAGATACCCACCGTCCCCACCAGGCAAACGATGCCCAAGTCGGGAAGTTAAAACGGCGTTACGGATTCACGGAAATCATGGCATGCGACAGCACCTTTGCTGCTCAGAGAACTACACTATTAATATCGGCTATATCCGCTGCCATTTGCCTGCCATCTACAGCTTGCACCATATCGCTTGCACGGAGCTTATAATCACTCGTTCGACGCACATGAATCATTTCTTTATATACATACACCATTTGGGGTTGTTCCGGTCAAATCCTCCACGGTCGCAGCCATGTTGCTTCACTTTAATCGGTGTACATAGAGAGAATGAAGGCACACAGGCGCTATGACTTGTTGTTGCTCACAGAGAAGCATGTTTTGCCTGTTTTGAATGCAAGGCATTGTCGCGCAGCAAAAGTTTCGGAAGTATTGATTTAAAATGGATGTTAGGTCAACCCAGATAAATCGTATGGGCAATTAGTTTTCTAGATACGTATGAAATGATGTTCCTTTGTCGAGTCTGAATAATTCTGTCGTAGACCGGCATGACATTTCGTGGATGCAACATGTCTTATTGTCATGAATGAGTACCTGTTCCTCTTCATGGGTGTCGCTCTAGGTAGACAATTACAACCATGATCCGTCCTCACCGGCAAGCCCCATGCCCTCGCTCAACCCAACGCGATCCCACCAGAATCGGAATTGCCGCACTTCCGCCTCTGTCAGCGCCCTCACCCGTGCGACAGTACCATGCCTTCGCTGCCCACGACGGCCCATGAACTCATCATTCCCCTCCCCAAAGACGACAATCTTCCCTCTCACCTCATCTTCATCATCCTTGGGAACGTGATCGTCCGCGCCTCCCAGTGAATCGCCGAACGGGGACACGAACCTCGGCCAGGTGATACCGCTCGAGTTGACCAATTCGTTGGGCCCTTCCTCGGAATCCTTGCTGGTGACGAAAGACGACCAGAATCCGTGCATGGCCTCGCTCGTAGCCCACAACCCGGGCGTCCGGTGCGGCGAGAGTATGTCACTGTCGCGAGTGGCGGCGGGGACGTGGTCTCCGTGGTTCGCGGCGCCGAGGTCCGCGTGCGCGGCGTATTCATACACCCACACCGGCCCGCCCTTGCGAGACGCAAAGTGGGCTGAATGGATCAGCGGCGCAATATAGCCGTAGTGGCCGTATGCGTGCGCCAGGCGGCGGAACTGGGCGCCGTGGCCGGGCGTTGGCGGGGGTGGGTAGCTTGAGGCGGGAGGGTAGAGGGAGTCCAGTGTCTCCAAGTCGGAGTGCGTCAAGGAGGGTATCAGGGCGGCGAAGAAGTCTTTCAGGGAGGTGGGAGACGATGCGGACGCCGGGACGAAGGTTGTGCCCTCGGAGGAGTTGAAGCCTGTGATGAGAGGTGGAGGCGAGGGAAGGTCCGGAGACAGTGTCGCCCATGTACGGATGGGCATGCCTGGGATGATTGCGGCCCCGGTATCTACGTTGCCGTCGATGGATGGCTGAAAGGGCCATTGGACCGACGGCGCGTTTTCCGTCCAAACGGCCACTGAAGCTTGGAGGAGCTTAGGCAGCGGTAGGGAGCGGAGGGCGGGGAGGATTTGGTCTTTTGGGAGATGAGAGAGGGAGGCGTATGACAGAAATTGCGCAAATTGGGCTTCGTGGCGAGGATGCGTTGCTGCGAGAACGGAGCGGGCTGTTGCCGCGCCTGATTCCAGAATCGCGCGGCGAAAGAGCTTACGCGAGGGTGTCGAGAGGAGGTGATGGCCAAGCTGTGGGTGTCAGTGAAGCCTTCTAGGTGTGAGATTGCGAAGAGATGAACGAGGGGTGGCGTACTGAATGTGCTCCGGCACTGAAACCCATCACCGTGACATCTTCTGCGTCGCCCCCGAACTGAGCGATGTTCTGGTGGACCCAATCCAGGAGGGACCTCTGATCATGGAGCCCCAGATTGGAGATGCCCTCATTCGCTGCGATGCCACACGGCAGAAAGCCAAGCGGTCCAAGACGGTAGTTGAAGCTCACAGCGATGATGTCCTTCTTAGCGAAGGCCACGAAAGCACCGAGATTTCTGTCTGCTCCTCGTCCAAAGTTGAAGGCCCCGCCGTGGACATAGACCAACACCGGGGCCTTCTTCGTGATCTCTCCCGAACCTTTTGAGAAGGGCCGAAAGACGTTTGTGCTTAGACAAGCCTCATGAGAAGGGATAGAAGGGTCTGCCGTTGGACAGACGGGGCCGTATTCGGAAGCGTCAAAGGTCTCCGAGGATGCCGGCGGGTGCGATGCGCGTTGGAGGCGTTGGGCCTCCGCGTAGGGGATGCCAAGAAAGGCCTCTATTTCACGCGGAAAGTCCTCATCATCGACTATCTTTCCAGTGTAGATGCCCTGGGTCAGGCGGACGGTAGGCTGTCGGCCTTCAAAACTTCTCATGATCATGGCGGAGCAAGAGGAATACGATGCCCCTGCTCGTATGTATAACGGATTGCGGTGATGTGGACTGTCTCCCAATTCGTAAGCGTCGATCGAATCAGGTATTTGATCGATATTTTGTTGTATTGAAGGATCCAGGTACGTCTCCCTCACAAAGCTTGTGGGAATTTGAAACCAGGCGACAAGAGGACCGAGACCAAGTTTGCGGGATGTCGTTGGCGGGCTCCGCTATCACCCGGCGCTAGTCCGACCGAGCGGCTCTGTCCGTTTTTCTCCCCGGTCCGGCACGCCGGAACCGCCTGGTCAGCCAAGCGAGCTGGGCGGTCCCAGCCGCAGAATTTCTGTTGTAGCTGAAACTCGGGGGAAGACACGTGCTAGCTGGCTGTATCATATTTATAGGAGATCTCATTAACAGCAAACCGGACTGCCGAACGGTTGAAGTTGGAACCAAGTTCGAGACTGGGCGACTGGTATTGTTGCTTTGTTCGACAGCTCTCACTGATGTTCTTTGCCTCACCATACTCGCTAGTGTTCTCAGAGCCGCTATGATAGGCCACTGGTCACACACGTTGGAAATTGACATGAGGTGGTAACAGGTTCTCTTACACGGTAGGCTTTAAAACTACAGGCCTTTCTGACTCCAAAAACTCCAAACAATCCAATGCTACAAAACTCAACACGGGCTAAACCGCTTGACGGGCCGCCGCATTAGCTGCTGCCAGCTGCTTGCGTCGCTGCTTCTCAGCCCACTCTCTGCTCGCTTGTCGGGAGCGCTCGGCGGCCTGCTCGCGAGCAAGCTTGGCATTGAGTTCACGTTCACGACGTTCCCGCTCCTTATCCTCAAGGTAACCGTTGTCCCGCTCAAAAACCTCCCTGCCCTTCATCTTTTGCTGCTCCAAGTCCTCAGCAGATAGCGTGCTACGCTTGCCCATGCTGGTAGTAGAAGTAGAAGTACCACGGCTGATTTGGGAAGTGACGGTAGCTTGGGACAGGCCTCTGCCTCGAGCCTGTGGGGATCTGTTTGATGTGGTCCTTGTAACTTGCGTTCGCGGAGTCATAATAATCGATGAGCGCTTGGAAGGGCTTTGCTCAACCTGGGCTGCCTCACTCGACTCAGAGGCTTTGCCCTGGCGAGCACGACTAGTAGCAGTCTCGCGGGGGTACGAAGCTGAATTCAGTTTCGCCCTGATAGGACGCGCCTTGAACTCGCGACGCTTGCGCTCGTCCTCCTCCTGTTGTCTGAGCCTGGCTTCACGATCCTCCCTCTTGCGCTTGGAGATTGCCTCTCCCGGAAGCTCAAACGTGGGTCGAGTCAGTGCTTTAGTTGATTTCCTTCTTTGAGGCGCTTCTGCCGCTGCGGCTGCAGCCTTGTCCTGTGCTTGCTGCGCTTGACGGGCTTCGCGCTGCTCCTTTAGACGCCTGGCGACGGCCTCTCCCGGCAGCTCAAACGATGGCTTTGTTGGGGGCTTGGTGGATTTAATTGGTGGCAGCAAGCTCGTTGGCCGGGAAACAGAAGATCGGGTCGGAGTTGCTTTGGCCGGAGACCCCGTAGCTCTCTTGTCGTCAACGATTGAGACAGACTTTCTCTGATTTGGGCGGGTTTTAGAGGTCACAGGTTTTGGCCCGGCACTGCTTGGGCCATGATTCAGTAAGGAGCCGTTGCGCCGGACGGCGGGATTGTTCATTGCAAGCGACCCATCGTTTGCTGCTTGGTGTCGCCGGGTTTTGCTAGGTGGTGTGATGGCAGCATCGACAAGCTCCAATTGCTCTTCGAGTCTATCAATGGCTTCTAAGGAGTCCTCTATGCGCGACTGCGAACTTGCAGAAGTCGATCGTGAGGGCGTACGCGGAGCCTGAAAACTGCTGTCGTCTGTAGATATGGAAATGACTCTGTCCTTTGAATGCTCAAGTACATCAACTGAGGACTCCTTCCTGTTTTCAGTTGCCTTGGCTGAAGGCTCCATCTGGTTCGGCCGGGTCTGTTCAACAATGGTGACCGTGATACCTGATTGCGATGTCTTGTTCGATGCGGTGTCGTTCCCCACAGGCGTCGGAGAAAGAAGTCGAACGACGGGCTCGGCGATGGCCATGGCTTCTTCCACCTCTGAGTAACGATGTGCGGGCTGTGACACGACTTCCTCATGCCCTAAAGGAGTGGCTAGAATTCGGTAGGTATTAGTCGGTTTGCCCTGACTGCAGACATGAGAGGTCGAGCCTTGGTTCTGTGCCAAAACGTTGCAGCCAAAGCTCTGCGATTCATCCTGAACCCGACTGGGCGGACCAATTCGCGAGGCTGGCCCGTCTAGGCCAGGAACCGAAAGTATGTAGTCATACTGACCTGCCTTGTGTCGTGCGATACTCGACTGAGTATGTAAATCAATACTCAGCGACCGTTGGTGATCAGGAATGTAAAGGGCAGAGAAGACTGCGGCGGTTAGGATCGATGGTACATGAGAAAAAGCACAAATTGAGCAAACCTTCAGAGGGGACGCTGGCTTCAAATGAGTCCTGTGCCTGGCTAGCAGACGCCGTTAATGCGTTTGTTTCAGCCAACGAGGGGACACCCTCGATCACTCGAGGCGGCTGTGCAGGGATTGGTCCTTGCGCGTAAATGGTCTCAGCTGGGCAATTGTCGCAGTCTTCGGCTTCTTCCTTGACAACCTCGAGGAGTGGGAAGATCTCGGTGTCAACACTGTGAACAGACAATCGAGTTGGACGGCTGTTGGAAATGGGAAGTAACGATCTGTCGCCGCGATTCTTCTTAGGGCTATAGATATGCAGCTCCTTAAGTTTGTCGGTCAAGTGGTCAATGAAGTCGTGGGGGCTTCTCTCAGTATTAGTGTCATGTCTGTCAAGGAGAGCAATGTTTGCGTCTATTGAAGCATGTTGCTTGGAAATATCCGTGGTGGCTGTGTCGTCTTCAACGACGACGAACTCGTGGGCGTGGGCCCGGGCCCTGGATCGAGGTGCACCGCGAGCCATCGTGCCAGCAGCCAGACCAATCTCCGGATCCGACCTGAACGTGGCAGGGAGCTGCCAACCCAGGCAATTGGACGGGCAAGGGAATGGCGACTTTGGGGACCAGTTGGCTATCTGGAATTCGCAGGCAATCTCGCTTCGGGACAGCCGGGGTGCGTGTAATATTGGCGGGGTTATTTGCCCTCGTGAACTTGGGACAGCGTAAGGCGGAGGGGATGTCGATGAAGTGTTCGGGATTATCAGCTGGAAGAGAGGATGGAAAAACCAAGACAATGCGTATTTGGGCGTATACCTTTAGCTGAGTTTGATGGGAAACCAAGATGAGAGGGAGTTGATGTTGGGAGAGACTGAAGAAGTCTGGGGTCGCGGCTGGGAGGGACAAATAAACACAGGCAATGATCAATTGGCCAAGAAGTCGGCGGAAATAGTAATCAATACTGCACTTTCCTCTTCTACCTAACCGTCAGTTCCCATCACACCAGCCAGAACAGGACAGGACAGCGCCAGTGTGTGTGCACAGGCGCATGCGCCGGCGTGACATGACGGATATTGGGCTGCGGCAAGCTCGTTTGGCTTGCTAGGGAAGGGTGGCATGCCCAAACCACAAGGCAAGGCCCCCGAGGGATGAGGCAGCTACCTAGTCCATCTCGCTGTAGCAACGTGCAAGTGCGACGACTCATGTGACTGTACAGAGCATCCGTAAGTGCAGGAAACGCGTGTCTGCCCTCAGACGCGTCTTTCCGTTTGGACCCCGCACGCATTTGTTGACTTCGGTGGGGCCTTTCCGCCCAATCCAATGTCATTCCAGACATGCAGGAGCTGGACGCTAAGCGGCGCCAACACATTGCTTTCCGTCAGCTTCAGATAAAGCAGGGCATGCTACCTCCAGATAGCAGACTGGGTACGCTATGGTGGCACCCTCCATGCAGAGTTACGCTTTCGTGACAATATCAGTACAGCCATATTGTCCAACAGGACGTAGTGGATGACCGCCATTGGCACACGTGCTAGGCGTGAAATGGGAGTTGACCTGATTGAATACTCTGTCCGGAAAAGCATAGGTTGGCCAACGTTGTACGGTAACAGTCAGGGCGTTGGGCATCTAGGAGGATGATGCGGCGTAAGACATGGTTGCTTTTTGGGTTGATTCGTCCGGATTGGTGTGTCGCCATCATGACAAGGTCGACGTGTTCTCTGCGCTCTCTGCCGCGTTCTCGGCCTGCGCCTGCAACGTCGGTGCATGCTCCGTTGGAATGCGAACCAACGTTTGTGGAAGAGGCATGCTGTGATCTTCATTCTCTGATGGTTCGTCTGCAGGTGGTTTTGCAAGTTTGGCTAGGCAGGTTCGTGAGCTTTATCGGACATCACCAATTGCGTGCGGACGGCACATACCAGAAGCCATGTTGATGGCACCCAACACGTTATGCCAGTTCCCAATGACCATGGCGATCGCTAATGCTGGTTAGCCCTGACATTCGATTCCACAGGGCTGTAGAAAGCGTGCTGATGCCCACCTTCCGTTCCGTCTGACAGCGTAGACAGCTTCTGCTCCAGAGCTTCCATCTGGCCTGCAACTGCGGCGCTCAGGTCGCGAAGCTCTCTCAAGTGTTCTAGCTCTGCCTTCTTCTCTGTAATGCGCGCAACCAACATGGGCGAGGGACCGGCCGACGAGGCGTTCTGCGACCCCGTGCCGGGCAGTCGAGTCGAAAGCGATCTAGTTGGGTACGACATCGTGATTCCGTCGATGAGATTGAAAGAGTCGACCTGATGGCTCTCCAGAATCAGCCTGCTGCTGTCCCGAGAAACTCTGCAAAGTGCGTGTGGTGGCGGGGTTGTTATCTCGTCGAATGCGGCTTCCTCACAAAAAGTTATGTGAGGTGAGATGTTCGTAGATGCACATGTAAGAATTGCACGCAGCTGGGCAGTGGGAAACTGGAGCATGTTTAGTGGGGTCTCTGGCCCTGCGAATGCGCCCCCAGCAACCCCTCATCCTGGACTTTGTTTACACTAGTCCAAATCAGGCCGAGTGTAAATAAATGACACTCGGTAAATTTTCTCTCACTCAGACCCCCCCCCAGCGTCACTGTCCCAGCCTCTTCCGTATCGAGCTTCGCTTCGTTTCTCAGCTTTTCATTCCTCAGTTTCTGGACTCGTCACGCAACCGCCGCTCCCTCACCCAGAATGCACCATGGCTCGACTCAACGAACCTCCCGTATCTGCAGATAGCATCGACATATGTATGTTCTGTTGATTTCTTCAATATTGTCGGAGCCCATCAACTAATGTCCTGTAGTGCGCAGGAAGCTATTGCGCCAGAATAGAGATCTCGCAAAAGCAAACGCCGTCCACTTACTCCGCATCCGTACCATCGAAGCCGACTTCGCGCGGTCTCTGTCCGACAATCTTCGACTAGAAAGCCGCATTATTGAATTAGAAAAGGAGCTGGAGGACAATAATGCCAGAAGGATAGCCGACCACGCTCTGGACATCAGGTCCAGACTCGAGGCACAGCTCTCAGAATGCATGTCTGTTCTTTCCAGCCTTGGCCAGGAGCCCCCCACGAAGAGGCACGCGAGTCCCAGGGGCAGAAGATCATCACGAGCAAGTCTGCCGCTTCAAAGCCCCCCTCGAAGACGTCCGCCACGCGAGTTGATGAGGGAGGCAGGGGCCCGAGCGCCGGAGGATGATAAGCTGCCAACGATCGCAGAAAACAAATCCTACCCAAGAGCAACTTTGGAGTAAGTCAAGCAACGTCCGCATTCGCAGAAAATCCTTTTTGCTGACGCGTCTCGCAAGTCGCGAACAAATCTTGGCCCTTTGCTCCGAAGCTGCAGATACGACCGACACAACAGACTCGCCAGAGCTCGGGCCCCCGCCTGTGTCTCGATTTGTTGACGGCGAAACTGTCGATATTGGATCACCCAGCAAATCCATAGAGTACGTTGAGCCGGAGCCACTCGCGCACAGCTCTCCAGCAGTTTCACCGATCCCGTCACCAGCACCGGCGCCAGTCTCGGCGACCAAATCAACACCAAGGATGGAGAAGAACCTCATCGTCCGCCCCGACCCTGTACCTACCACTGAGGCATCTGAACCCCAGAGAGTGCTTCAGAAAGAAAGCCCCATCTTGCCTCCTGTCGTGCCCAGTGTATCTGCCAAGACAGGCTCCAAGCGGAAGTACAGTGTTGGGGAGGATACGAGTAAAACAGGGCAGCAAACAGCTGAACCGCAAAAGTCGAAGAACATTTCGGAACGTCCGCTCATCGGACGAGATCATCAGACCGGGAAAACATTGAAGGAGCTGGCAAGCATCCGACGTGAGGCGAGGGAACGTATGGCTCCACCCGTCAACCCAAGGAAGCCTTTGTCAGCAAAAAGCACGAACGATGACGTGACTTCTCCGATCAAGATCGCAAAGGCTGCAGCGGCAGAGGGCAAAATCGGAGTTGAGAAGGCAAAGCCGCGGGCAGCAAGAGAACGAGCGGCGCAAAAGATCAAGGAGACTGAGGCTGGGGAGAACGACGTCGATAATGCGCCTGTTGAAATACCCATGACAGCCCCATTGTCCCCGACTTCAGTTGTCAATGTTCTCCCTAGCACAGAAGCTGTTCCCCTCGAAGCTGCTTTGCTTTCACCGGCTTCCCCAGAGCAGACGTCCAGAATGAGCCTGTCTAGTGTCAGGGACACTCCACCGCCTGCCGAAATATCCTCTCATGGGGAGACATCACGACCAAGCAGGCGAGCTCGATCCGCCGTCAGTTATGCTGAGCCCAACTTGCGAGACAAAATGAGACGTCCGACCAAGGAGCTTTATGACGCAGTGTCTGGGCAGACTAGATATCTGCAGCGCGGTGGGAGCGCCAAATCGGACAGTGCCACGCCAGACGCCACTGTCACGATCAAGCGCGAGTCTGCCGACGGCGATACGCTAAGGCATATTCCATCTCTTGCGCCATCCACAGTTGATAACCCACAAAGAACGTCAAGCCCTGCTGAGATGACAAGCATGCGATCGTTGGACACCGAACCTGGCCCAGCAAGGCCTGACCGTAAGAAGCGAACATCATCGATGATGTCGAGGTCCATATCCGAGACTGAAGAAGAGACATCGGCCCGACAGGCTCAAATCGCTTCTCCGAGTCGTTCCACTTCATCATCGTCCACCAAGGTCGTCGATCCTTACGATTTCACCACCTCGACCCCGGGAAGTGACAGTTCGCGCATCATTGAAATGAAGGAAAGCGCGCCGCCAGCAAGACAATCCAAGTCTTCGAGACGGCTCTCGTCCGTCGTGAGAGAGGACTTCAAGATTGAAAGCCTTGAGGGGGCCGAGCGAGCAAAGACTGGCGTATCTAGGAAGAGGGCTTCGATGGTCCTGCCAAAGAGGACCCGAGCGGATACGGAGGGCTCCGAAGATAGCAGCTTCGAGAGCCTGGACGGTGACATTCAGGAGTCGTCGAAAATCTCTGTGAGAAGGAGGAGGAGCATGATGTTATAATGACTTGACGGTTGGCAAGCACCGGTGTTTTTGGAGTTGGACACCATCGCAGATACCACTCTGATTGTTGGGTTACTGTTCTGTATTAGTGTTTCAGTGGCTTCATTGTCTGGTTACCGAGAGGGGAAACGAATGGATTCCTGTGCATATGGGCGAGAGCATCAAACATGAGTCCATGGATATGTTTGGCTGAAACCGATATTATTATAATGATCATCATTCGCCTAAGAATTCGTGTGGTCTTGATTCATGATATCAGCCATCGGTGGCTGAACCTCCCGTTTTGGTTAAATTCAATGTCTCCTGCAGCAGCTCGTCTTGCATGATGACGGCTCATGATGTTGCAGACGGCTCCACGGGCTTCGTGTAAGTCACCTTTTCCACCGCAACATTCTCATTTCCCTTGTCGTCCTTGCGTAGTTGGTAAACATATAGAGTCAGCGAAATGCCTTGAACCTATGTTGACAATCAGCAAACGTTCCCGCAACGGGGGGATTCCACAGATACGTACATCCATCAGGCAGAAACTTGGGACGGGCTCCTCGCCGTCCTTGCCCCAGCCTGCGGTAAAGGCGCCAGTAGCACTACCGGGGTTGACGAAGAACTTGTCCATGTACTCGAAGGCATCGAACTTGTGGGTGCCACCCCAACAGAGAACGTCGACATCGAGCTTATTGGCCTCGGCGAGGAGCAGATCGGGTTCGTTGGAGACAAGAGTGAACCCCTCGAGGAAGCCAATGCGTAGAGAGCCGTGAGTGACTACCTGGGTTAGGGGCAGGCTTGTGGCCTCGACATCGTAACGGCCCTTGACGATCTTGAGGTCCGGAGCGATGGTACGGAGGTACTCGTACGTGTGCTTGTCGGTCAGGTTGCCCAGGCAGAGAGTTTGGCCGATCTTGCCTGGAGCAAGAAGCTTCTTGAACTGCAGTGGTTGTTGGTGTTAGTCCAAGGTTGATAGTAGCTTGCAATACATTAGACGAGCTGCGCATACCTTTTGGGGGATATCAAGAGCGCGGTCTGGGATATGCAGGTCGCCAATGACCAGTATTAAGAAAGCCATGGTCGTTAGGGGTGTGTATAGTTATCGATTGGGTCTTACGATGGTGATGAAGTCGTAGCGGCGGCGCGTGGGACGCTGGTTGGGACGTCGGGAGGTCGGTGGTTGCGCAGGAGGGTCGCGCGGCCGATTGGGAGGCCGAGGGCCGGACACAGTTCCTCTTCGGAGGACGTCTGATATCGACACGCTGAGCGGCAGATTATATTCGCGACGGTCGATGGTCGGGCGTGTTGCTGTTCCGGCGGGCGACGTAATATCTTGCGGATCTCCAGGCAGGTAAGGTCGCAGCTTGGCTGCTTGTCGGAGGCACTTGGTAGCTTGCTGCGACCACTCTCCTACCTTAGCCTCAGTTGCAAGTGGGGACCTCCATTCGACAGTGTAGGTACGTATAGTCAAGCCACACTATCGGTCGAAGCACCACTTCATCTGTGGCTGGCCATGGTTCGGATGTCTGCCCGATGGGGTTAGTGCTCGGGGGACTCGGAAGACCGCCGATGTCGTCCGGTGTACGCCGCCAAACCAGCCCCTGCGAAGAAGCTCTCAGTCTGATTCCAGCCAGCTTGTTTGTGTGTCGTGGACTGATGCTCCTCCAGCGCTTTGAACGGTGGCCTCCACTTTCCGACACCAACGAACGACGGCATCCGCCCTGACTCGAATCCTGAGTTACCTCCAATACGACCATATCACATTGTGATTTAGTCTTCGCGTTAATAGTGTTCACCAGCCCATTGTCTGAAGACATACTGTAAGGACCCCTTTTCTTTAGACGGCAGGACTTGCAGCAGCATCCTTTGTGCTCAATTGCTTTTTGCTAGCAGGACAGGGGAAAGTGAGAGAGGGAAAAAGATCCATCAGAGGGATCCAGCTCCGATTTCCGCCCGCTTAAACTCAGTGTAATCTTCTGTCCTTCTCCTCTTTTTTTTTCATCTTCTCCCGCTGCCACGGGAATAAACTGAGCAAAGTTGTAAGCGTAACCATTCCAAAACGTGTCTATCTTGCCCAATCCCGTCTGGTCCCAATCCAAACCTCCATATCTCGGTTCCGTCCCGTCTGAAAGCGACGCTCGGCTTACGTTCCGACCTCTGACGCCACAGGCACACATGCACGTTCCCCTACGGCGGCTCCAGCTCCCGCTCCTGCCTCTCCGCACTCTGGCGAAGGGGGGCAGAATGCCCCTCCATAACCTTAACAACCCCTCATCAGCCCGGGTATCTCTCATCTCGAGGCACTTGCGACAGCCGGAACCGCAGACTACTTCAACTCCTGTAAGTCCACCTCACAACCTTCAATTGATCACCTCTTTTCTCATCCATATCTGGTTCAGCAGCAGCAACAAAGACTACATTCCACCATGTCTACTCAACCACCCCACCCCACGCTCCTCATCCCCGGGCCCATCGAGTTCGATGATGCTGTCCTGCAGTCCATGAGCCACTACAGGTCCGTGCTATCAGATATGCCCATTTCCCAGGTGGAGCTCCACCTGAACTGACCTCCAGCTCGCGATGATCCATTGCTGACCAGAAGTCGACTTGCACAGTGAGAGCCACGTCGGCCCTGGCTTCGTCAACACCTTCGGCGAGGCGTTGTCCATGCTGCGCCAGCTCTTCCAGACTACCGATTCTTCGTCGCAACCCTTCGTCATCTCCGGCTCCGGCACCCTTGGCTGGGATCTCGTCGCTGCCAACCTCGTCGAGGCCGGCGAGGACGTCCTCGTGCTAGCCACCGGCTACTTCAGCAATGGCTTCACCGACTGTTTCAAGACCTACGGCGCCAACGTTACCGAGCTCAGAGCCCCCGTTGGCTCCCGCCCTCAGTTGCCCGAGATCGAGAAGGCCCTGTCCGAGAAGAAGTACAAGGTTCTGACCGTCACCCACGTCGATACCTCCACTGCTGTGCTCAGCGAGCTCAAGGACTTGGCTGCTGTCGTCGAGAAGGTGTCTCCCGAAACCCTCATCATCATCGACGGTGTCTGCAGTGTCGGCGTTGAGGAAATCAAGTTCGACGAATGGAAGCTCGATGGTGTCATTACCGCTTCGCAGAAGGCCATTGGCGTTCCCGCTGGTCTGTCGATATCCATGTTCAGCGGCAAGGCGATGCAGTCTTTCCAGAACCGCAAGACCCCGCCGGCGTCTTACTTTGCCTCCTTCAAGAACTGGACTCCTGGTAAGCCACACATGTAGAAGTCGGTTGCGAGTCCATTGTTGACCATGCGCAGTCATGCAAAACTACGAGGCGAAGAAGCCTTCCTACTTTGCGACACCCTCTCCTCAACTGATCCACGCTCTGCACACCGGTCTTACCCAGATTCTCGCCAAGCCTCTGTCTGAGCGCTTCGCCAGGCACAAGGAGGTTTCCGACAAGGTCAAGAAGGCCGTCGCCGATCTTGGACTGAAGCAGGTTGCCGCGAAGCCCGAAGACCAAGCCCATGGCATGACCGCCGTCTACCTCCCTGAGAGCGTCAAGGCTACTGATATTCTTCCCAGCTTGGCCAAGAAGGGTATCGTGTTTGCCGGTGGTATTCACAAGGAGATTGCGCCCAAGTACATTCGCTTTGGACACATGGGCGTCAGCGTTGTAAGTTCTCACTGTACGGATACTTGGACAATGGTATACTAATAAACACAGACGGATCCCAACCGCAAGGACATCGACAACGCCATCAAGGCGCTGCAGGACAGCCTTTTCGAGGTTGGCTACCAGAAGCCGTAAGCGGTGGTTTATAGAAGGGTTTGCATTTTGTACATCTCAACTAGACGATTATCCATCCCTAAGGCAGTATAGAAAGAAAAAAAAAGAATCACGATTCATTTTGTGAAAGACTATGGTTGCCTTTGAAACGTTTGGTGAAGTAAGACTCAACCAGCGCTTAAGGTGATAGGTTGTGATAGTTACGTGGGAACGAGTGCCTTGTCCGGACTCAATTGCAACAGGGGTCTGCTCAGAGCCGCGCGGTAGCGGATGAGGTTCGCCCCTCAGACTGGCATGGTAGGTAATGAATCACCTTGAACGTTGTCGAATCAGCCCCATGATCGGACGATAGAGGATTTCGGCCGAGTCTCCTGTTGGCGGGGTTTGAGGAAACCATAATGTGGCATCTGGTGTGATGCGAGAACGACCGCATACGTGCATGTATGCCTGCGTCCATTGACATGATCTATTACTAATAGCGATCCGGCGACCTCCTCGGTGTGCTGGGCGCATTGTTATCCGATGAAAGCATGTACTGTGATTATCGCCGAAAAGGTGGGGTGAGGAGGGGATGAGTAGAAGGCTGGGAAGTCTACCTGAATGTGCGACGCGATGTATCAGTACATGGTGCCTTAGCTGGACAATATTCTCAGGCGCAGGGTAGTAATTGGGCGAGGATGCTCCGATGCCATCCGATACTCCAATTTGGAGACGCCTTGAGGTATGCTGTCACGGCTGTTCAAGTGTCGATGCGACGGGACTGGACAGGTCGGCCGTGTTGTCGGAGAGTCCGAGGGATGCACGAGGCAAGAGCTCGGTGAACTAGGTGAACAAGGTGAACAAGGTGAGCAAGGTGAGTCCTGCCTGCCTATGACGCGCATCCACACAGTCGGGTGTTATCTTGAGGCGGGTGCAGTGGCCGTGGGCGTGGCACACCAGCAGGAGGGCAGCCTCACAGCAGACGGGCCAATATCAGAGGAAGGGGAACCCGGAGCTCAGCTGCAGCCCAGCTCGGTTGTTGCAGTTGGCGGTCGCAGGGTTCACCGCGCCAAGTGATTGCAGCAACAGGCCCGGTGGAAAAGAGGGGAAGAGGGGTGCCTGGGTAACGCAGGCCGAGTGGATGATGTGGAAAGAAACGATCCAATGCCAAAGGGGAAAGAAAGTCTTCAAGGCCAGGCGGTAACGTGGTCCGGCCCAAGCTTCTAGCCCATTCGCGAGTTCCCGTTCTGCTGCTGTCAGGCTACCCAGGTAGGCACCTAAGGTACCCAGGGAAGGCACCTAGGTAGGCTGCTCACCTCAGTGCTCTGTGCTGGCGGTCTTTAGGTGCCCTTGGCTCCGGTCCCAGTGGCCCAAAACCAGACCTATGGCAGGTATCGATACCTGTGGCTGGTGGAGTTAGCGGGCGGCTGACAAAATTGGTTGTCCCCCGCCATCCGCCTCTTTCGCTCTCTCGATAACCAACCTATCCTCGCCTTCACGCCAAGCAGACTTTCCTCACCACATATTCTCCTCTGCGACCTCTACCTTCTCTCTCCTCTTTTCCTTCTCTCTCCCCCCCATTGCAACAATCTCCCGAATTATCACCAGCTGGCCTCGTTCCTTGCTGTATTTACCGTAGCGCTCGCAGCACTCTTGCGCCGCGCTCTCTATTGTTTCCCCTCCTCCTCATAGAGAGCCTGCGACCAGTTCCCCCTCATCCGCTGCCTCTTGCGATCGAGATCGACCTTCGACCACCCCGCCCGCCGTACCGCACCACACGCGATGGCTATTACGATCCCGGAGCTGGACGACCTCGTCCGCTCCTTCTACGAGGGCCGTGGCGAACAGGTGCGCAGCTTTTTACGGATTCGAATAAATAGAGATTTTTGGCCCGAGGCTGACCGACCATTTGTCCCATACAGCAAAAGCAAGCGCAAGCTGCACTCAACCAGGTACGAACCCAATCCCCTCCCGCCATCGTATCCTATTTCAAGTCTCTGACTATATACCCTTCTTGCAGTTCAAGGAAGATCAAGATGCTTGGCTCCTCGTCGACAAGATCCTCTCCGAAGCGACCTACCCCCAAACGAAGTGTATGTCCAGCATAAATTACCCTTTTCTGGCCTTGCAGACCAGCTGACGGATACAGACTTGGGCTTGCAGGTGCTCGACAACGTGATCATGACGAGATGGAAGGTTCTCCCAAGAGATCAGTGTCAAGGTTTGGAGCTTGCTACACCGCGCTTTTACACCGCGACTGACCCAACCAGGTATCCGTAACTTTGTTGTGCAGTTCATCATCCAGTGCTCCAGCTCCGAAGAGACTATGAAGGCTGAGCGCACCCTGCTCAACAAGCTCAACCTCGTCCTGATTTCCATCCTCAAGCAGGAATGGCCCCATAACTGGCCTACCTTCATCAACGAGATCATCACGTCGTGCCACTCGAGTCTATCCATCTGCGAGAACAACATGGTCATTCTCCGCCTGCTGTCCGAAGAGGTCTTCGACTACTCCGCCGAGCAAATGACTTCCGCCAAGACTCGAAACCTCAAAACCACCATGTGCGCCGAGTTTTCTCAGATTTTTACCCTCTGCCAGGAGGTCCTTAACACCGCCGACCAACCGAGTCTCGTCAAGGCTACCCTCGAGACATTATTGCGCTTCTGCAACTGGATCCCCCTCGGCTACATCTTCGAGACCCCCCTGATTGACACTTTGCGAACCCGATTCTTGCCTGTTCCCGAGTTCCGCAACGTTACACTGCAATGCTTGACGGAGATTGGCGGTCTGCCGACCGGTGGAAACACTTATGACGAGCAGTTGGTCAAGATGTTCACTGAGGTCTTGACTACCATCGCAACGATTATCCCCATTAGCCTGGATCTGAAGTCGACATACCCGAATAGTAACTCTAGAGATCAAGAGTTCATTCAGAACTTGGCTCTGTTTTTGTGCAATTTCTTCGGGATGCACCTCAACGTAAGAATCGCTGCGTAGCTGCTGATAGATCCAAGCTGACACTCTAGCAGCTTATCGAGAACTTGCCCAACCGGGACTTCCTTACGCATGGCCACTACTACTTGATCCGCATATCCCAGATCGACGACCGCGAGATCTTCAAGATCTGCCTCGACTACTGGCTCAAGCTCGTTCAGGAGCTCTTCTCGGAGATGCAGCAGCTCCCTATGACGGAAGTGAATCCCTTGATGGGCATGGCTGGAGGAATCACTGGAGCCGGCGCGCCGAGTCCGGACATGCTGAACAACTATCCGCTGCGCAAGCACAAGTACAACGAGGTCTTGTCGAACCTGCGTACAGTCATGATTGAGAAGATGGTCCGTCCCGAGGAGGTTCTCATTGTCGAAAACGACGAGGGAGAGATTGTTCGTGAATTCGTCAAGGAGAGTGACACGGTACAACTCTACAAGACTATCAGAGAGTGCTTGGTGTACCTGACGCACTTGGACGTCGTCGATACCGAGAACATCATGACGGAGAAACTCGCCCGTCAAGTCGACGGTAGCGAATGGTCATGGCACAACTGTAATGTGCTCTGCTGGGCCATTGGTTCTATTTCTTTGGCTATGAATGAAGATACCGAGAAGCGCTTCTTGGTTACGGTCATTAAGGATCTCCTTGGTCTCACGGAGATGAAGCGTGGCAAGGACAACAAGGCTGTGGTTGCGTCCAACATTATGTACATTGTTGGACAATACCCGCGTTTCCTGAAGGCTCACTGGAAATTTCTTAAGACGGTTGTCAACAAGCTCTTCGAGTTCATGCACGAGTCCCACGAGGGTAAGTTGGAACCATGCACAGTCGCATCGGCCTTCTCTTGCTAACTCGTTATAGGTGTTCAGGACATGGCTTGTGACACGTTCATCAAGATTGCGAGACAGTGCCGTCGTCACTTCGTTGCTCTTCAGCCGTCTGAACAGGAGCCATTCATCGAGGAGATTGTCCGCAACATGCACAAGATCACTTGCGATCTGTCCCCCCAGCAGGTTCACACTTTCTACGAGGCGTGCGGCTACATGGTGGCAGCTCAGGGCAACAAGCACCAGCAGGAGCGGCTCTTGAGTGACCTGATGGCTATCCCCAATGCTGCGTGGGACGAGATCATTAAGCAGGCGCGGATGAACCCGGTCATTTTGCAGGATGCTGAGACTATCAAAGTCATCGGCAACATCATGAAGACGAACGTCTCAGCCTGCACGTCTATCGGCCCCTACTTCTACCCCCAGATCGGCCGCATCTTCCTTGACATGTTGCAGATGTACCGAGCTACCAGTGAGCTGATCAGTGAGGCTGTTCAGAAGCAGGGTGAAATTGCAACCAAGATGCCCAATGTCCGTGGCCTGCGAACCATCAAGAAGGAAATCCTCAAGCTGGTCGAGACCTATGTCGAGAAGGCTGAGGACTTGCAGTCCGTACGTCAGCAGATGGTCCCTCCCCTGTTGGAGTCAGTTCTCGTCGACTACAACCGCAACGTTCCCGGAGCTCGCGACGCCGAAGTGCTGAAGGCCATGTCTGCCATCATCACGAAGCTCTCTGCCTTGATGGAAGATCAGGTTCCTAACATCATGGAGAATGTGTTTGAATGTACGCTGGACATGATCAACAAGGATTTCTCTGAGTTCCCCGAGCACCGTGTCGAGTTCTTCAACCTTCTCCGCGCCATCAACCTTCACTGCTTCCCTGGTATGTGCAACCTCCTTTGCCTCGAAGACTCAAAACTAATTCGCCTAGCTCTGTTGAAATTGGACAACCGCCAGTTCAAGTTCGTCATTGACTCTTGTTCCTGGGCGTTCAAGCACGATAACCGTGACGTTGAGGCTGCTGGTCTTAACATGTGCCTTGAGCTTATTAACAACATTGCGGACAAGACAGATGTCCAGACCTCCAATGCCTTCTTCCAGCAGTTCTTCATCACGATCCTGCAGGATGTGTTCTTCGTTCTTACCGACAGCGACCACAAGGCCGGTTTCAAGACCCAGTCCATGGTCTTGATGCGCATGTTCTACTTTGTGCAGCCCGCTGACGGATCTGCGCCCAAGATCCAGGGTCCCATCTACAGCCCTGATCAGGCTGCTGCCGGCACCTCAAACAAGGAGTTCCTCGCTAACTTTGTGGCCAACTTGCTCCGTGGTGCTTTCCCCAACCTGCAACCGTACGTAACACCGTTTGATCAGATAACCCAGAGAGCGTGCTAACAACAGTGTTCAGTGCCCAAATTCAGACCTTCGTCGAGGGATTATTCACGCTCAACGTTCAGTATGATAAGTTCCGCCTGAACTTGCGCGATTTCCTTATATCTCTGAAGGAGTTTGCTGGCGACAACGCTGAGCTTTTCTTGGTGGAGAAGGAGCAGCAGGAACGGGATGCTAAGGCAGCCGACCTTGAGCGCCGAGGCAAGGTTGGCGGTCTTCTCAAGCCATCTGAGCTCGAAGATGACGAGTTGTGACTTGCTCAAGAGTTACGAACTGAGTATGCCCCGACATGGAAGCCCGAGAACGTGGACACGACGCCGAAGGATTCTCAGGGGCAAGGAACCGATTTTGATGAGTGGGAGCTGTACGGGCTCTGACCAGATGCCAAGCGTCATGGACTTGAGCACGACTCGCCAATCCCTGGCTCTGCGGCCCATTCTAGCCCTCTCATTCTGTAGTGATACCATGGATAGATGACCTGATGATTGCAGGATAACCTTTCGCCGCTTTGGGCCCCCTGGCATTGATACAGACAGGGTCGACTTATTTCCTTTCATCCATCTGGCAACGGAAAATGGTGAGGAGGGTATCTGCAGATTGCGCACCACCTTCCTCTGAGTGTTTTCTCGGAGGAAAGGTGCCGTCACTCGTGGAGCCCACCAAGTGGCGAGAGGAGGTTTATGATAACGGGTGGTTAAATCAAAAGAAAAAGCTATACAACAAGAACGGCGAAAAGCCGGATGTAGTGGTAGACAGCTTTCTATGTAGGCAATTTCAGCAGATAGATTGCATGATTACCGCCGCCTTTCGCATCTCCGATGACAAAGTCCTCAACCCATGACTTCTGTTGAAGACATTGAAATCCATGCAATTTAAATGAGAAGACGCTCATTATTGTCATTGGGATGCTCAGATCGTGTTTTTGTTTTTTCTTTCCCTTTCGAACTTTCAGTGCAGCTTTTTACTGCCTGCTTGCGCACCTTTCTAGGCTTAAGGTATTGGTGAAGATGAAGAGTCATAAAAGAGTCACAGGGAAACCTATGGCCAATCCATGCGACTTATATGAATTGTATTCGGCGAAGACAGGTACACTTCCCGGTGCTGACCATGGACGACAAGGACGACGACGGCAGCAGACGAAGTCGGCATAAGCTCGTAGCTTCGGAGGTATCCCCACTGCTCAACTTTTTAGTGGAGATCCAATGGCTCTCGGCCAATTAAAACGCTATAAGGACTCTGATCGCAACTTTTTTTCTTGGGTCCTCGAAAGCAAGCGTGAGGACGGAATCTCATCCTGTATCCAGCTCAGCTTCAAGACACCATGGCCCGAATAAGCCTGAGAACAGGCCTCGATCGCGATGTATATCAAATAGTCAAGAAGCTGGAGGATGAGCGCCAAAGCGAATACTCCAAGAAGGCCGAAGGGAAGAAGAAGCCAGCGAAACTGACAGTGACGGGCATCTACGAGAGCATCAAGAGGAGTAACAGTAGTCTGAGCCGACAGAAGCGAAGACCACTCGAGGATGCCATTGAGAGGGTTCTAGATTTTCGGAAAGAGGAGATGGAGCAGGGTGACGACAGCGACGACCTTCTCGAAGCCCAAGAACTGGCAGAGAAGGCGTATAAGGTGAGCGCTCATCCCCCCCCCCCCCCCTATGGAATGAGCGACTCGCTGATCGATACAACAGGAAGAGGACCGCTTTTTGCTGAACAGGCAGATGACGAAACATTGGAATGTGACCCCGGCGAGTCCTGCGCCGGCAGTTACGGCACAGGGCTCCGAGGGCAAGAGCACGAAGAAGCGGCGCCTGTCTCCAGAGCCTGACACAAATGGCGCGGGAGTGGAAGCAGGAGCGGTCAGCGATGCTTCGGCCATTGTAAACTCCAAGGCCAAGGCTAACGGAGCCGAGGCAAGGACGACGACGACGACGACGACGACAAAGAAGGCACTGAAGGCAAGCAAGTATGGCCCCGAGCAGATCCCGCATGGCTCCGTTGTTCTCGGGGGGGTCGGAGGCATCCTACGGGAACTAAGTCGTTACGTGTTTGCGCGTGCCCGCAAACCAGAAGATTTCCTGCCCTTTGGCGAGCAACCGGTCGGAATTCTCGTCTCCGGCCCGCCAGGTACTGGAAAGCAGTCCCTTGTTCGCTCGTTGTCATGGAGAACGAGGACGCCCGTCGTCTCCCTAGGACGATACCTGGCCGAGACCCGGTCCCCAGAGAAGGTCGCCAAGATCATAACAGACGTGATAGACGAAGCGAAGAAGGTTGCGCCGTGCATCCTCTTGATCGAGCACTTGGATGAGTACATGGCGAAGGGCAGCAATCAGAGCGAATTCGATCATGAAGTCATCACACAGCTGAAGCTGAACATGCGACGTCTACGAGAGGGAGAGGAGATTGGGGGTGGGCCGCGGGTCGTGGTTGTGGCCACGACGAGCAAGCTCGAGTTGATTGATCCTACTCTCAGGAGACCGGATTATTTCGCCCAGACCATCACGGTCAAGGTGCCCGATACGGATTCCCGCGAGGAGATTTTCAGGGTATTGACGCGAGAGCTCGAGATCCCCCCAGAAGTTGACTTCAAGGCCTTGGCTGTCCGCACCCACGGCTTCGTGGGAGACGACATCCGTGCCGTGGTCCAGGTCGCGAACCGAAAGGCGAGCGATCGCTTCTTGGACCTGGAGGATGCGAGAGCGAGGAACACTCTCGAGGCGGACAGGATGGACATGACGGACGGAAACGACGTGAAAACCTGGGACAGAGTCTACGATGACACTTGCCTGTACCACGACTACATTGAACACCCCGCCTACTCAAATCCCACCCGCGTACACGTCAGCCAGCAAGATTTCGTCGATGCCATCGCAGAACACACCCCTTACATGCGCCGGGAAGGTTTCTCCTCCATCCCCAGCACAAGCTGGTCCGAGGTGGGTGCCCTGCACTCCGTCCGTGCCGCGTTCCAGGTCTCCATCGTTCGCCGCATCAAGGAACCTCTCCTCTTCCAGAAGTTCGGCAAGCAGCGCCCCGCAGGCGTCCTCCTCTTCGGTCCCCCGGGTTGCGGAAAGACGCTCGTCGCGAAGGCTGTCGCCAACGATGCCCAGGCAAGCTTCATCCTCATCAAGGGCCCCGAGCTGCTCAACAAGTACGTGGGAGAGTCGGAGCGGGCCATCCGCGAGCTGTTCACGCGCGCCAAGTCCTGCGCGCCGTGTATCCTCTTTTTTGACGAGATGGACTCGTTGGTGCCCAAGAGAGAGAACACCACCACGGAGGCCGGCGCCCGTGTCGTCAACGCACTGCTCGCTGAGCTCGACGGCGCCGGCGATAGAGGCGAGGTCTACGTCATTGGTACCAGTAACCGGCCCGACATGATCGACCCCGCCATCCTGCGTCCCGGGCGTCTCGACAAGCTCCTGTTCGTCGACCTCCCTACCGAGGACGAGCGCGTGGATATCCTCCGCACGATTGTCCGAAATGGCATCGGCGGCACGGATGGGGCAGAGATTGAGAGCATCGCGAGAGACGCCCGTTGCAGGGGCTTCAGCGGCGCCGATCTGTACGGTTTGTACAAAAACGCTCTTGACGAGTGCGTGTTACGGTATGAGGGCGGAGAGCCGGCCCTTACGCGCGACGACTGGGAGGCTGCGCTGAACAAGACGAAGCCCAGCGTGCCGAACCCGGAGACGTACAGGAAGCTGGCTGCGAAATTGCACCATCAGAGTTAAAGTGGGATTTGATGCAAGGTAGACCTGCATAGACAGCAGTTCGAGCAATGATGATAATGATGGGGTATATACGCCCCGATAGTTCCTAGCAATACTTTCTCGAGCACCTACATCACGATGAGTAAGACATCATGCGATGCCCTGAGGATCCCAGGATGGGGGAGCGAGAGTTTCTTTGCATACAAGGCGTATGCGATGCGACGGCGATTGGCCATTGAGAGTGGAGAAGTGACAATCACTTACCATGAATCGGGGAAGAAACATGGCAAAACGACAACTCAAGCCGCATCCTCTCAATCCCATAATTAAGTCCCTTTGTCTCGCCAGCTATTTTTGAAAACGGCGGCTCCTTTTCTGTAACCTGTGCCTGGAAAAGTTCCACTGATCATTGCTGGGATATCGATGCAAGACGAGTCATCTGATTGGCTCGAGACAAAGGAGAAATGCTGTTCGCATCACATGAGTAAGCAGGTGTTTTTTTTTTTTTCGTTCCTTGATCTGGATTCCGCGTGCGACTCGATTTCGGGACTAGCTAAGCGGGTTACATCATGGACGAGTCTGCCGATCGCAAGCGAGGGAAGAAAAAAAAAAGTTGTTTGGTGGTATTACATCTTCATTGTTTTGAAAGAGGAGAATGTTCGAGATGAAATGGGGGCTATTGATGAAGCCCCAAAACACACTGTTCTAGTGGTCTATGATACAATTCGCAAATCGCCAATCCGTCTAATGCAGTCCTATCGTTACACGTCACCAAATTTATTTCGTAGCATCCTTGAGGTAGCTGTACAGCACATGTTAGCAATCGAGTCCAATTGTGTTGATTTAGGGATAGTTCCGGGTGGTGAACGTACGCAATGAGGTCGTTGCGGTCCTTCTCCTTCTTGAGACCACCGAAGGCCATCTTGGTACCGGGGATGTACTTCTTGGGGTTCTCGAGGTAGTCGAACTGTAAGGGATAGCGTTAGTGAATGTCGCAGGTCGAGAGAAAAGCCGAAGTCGCATACCAGAGTCTTGTCGTTCCACTCGATGCCCTTCTGCTTGTTGGCGTCGGTGTAGGAGTAACCCTCGACGGAACCGGTCTTACGGCCCCAGAGGCCGTGCAGAGCAGGGCCGATCTTGTTGCCGCCGTCCTTGTCGACGGTGTGACACTGAGCGCAACGGGTCTTGAAGAGGTTGGCACCCTTCTTGAGATCACCTACATTGCCGAGGTCAGTAAAATCTGCTCATATGCTGTGTTGCTTCCATGCGTTGTTAAGGCAGGAAATCCCAAAAGAAAACCGCCGAGGTGTGTCTGCGCTGGAGACCAACGTCTCTCGTGGGCGAAATTCGCTCACCGATGGAGGGCGATTGTCACCAGCTGCCAATTGACTTGTCGTGCAGCCCCATTCCCACCCAGTTGCCGGTGACTCCCCTGCAAGCGAAGGGCCCCGGGAAAATGGCGCATGAGATTGGGATGTGATCGAGATCAAGTCGCACACGATAGAGGGTTCGCAGGTGGTCGATTCGAAGCGGAAAAGACCCGGGAAACAAGTCCGTGTCGTTTTGGGCTCATCGAAAAGCGTGCTGCTGCTCAATGGCTCGTCGGCGACAGACAAGAAACACCTCGGCGTGGGATTTCGGGGATTCGCCAACCACGCACGGCTCAAAGGGGAAGCATGAAGATGCGCGCGCCGCAGGAAGAGAACTTACCACCGGCCATTTTGACGGATTAAAAGTGTTATTATGGAGAAGAAGGTCGAAAGGGGGTATCAGGTAATGAGATGCAAAAGAGAAGAAGTCTTTTGCAAAGTCGTCAAGGTCGTTGAGGTTGATAGATGTTCAGGAGTGTTGGGAGGGAAAAAAGGAAAAGAAGAAAAGTTTTGAGAGAGGATCGGGCCAGGGAAAAAGACGAGACGACAGCCACGGCCACGGCTACGGCCACCACGCTCAACCTAAGACTATCCGATTTTAATTATGACAACAGCCGGCAGCAAGGCACCTGCGCCTGGAATGAGCTCACTCACTCGCTCTCCCACAGTGCACAAGCCACAGCTGTGGCAACGCGCCCGCCAATCAGATGTGCAGCATTGCTAAGATGGTCATGCGTCTGGCGTCGCTTACCCGGGCAAAACCGGATACTAAGCCGGAACATCACTTGGTCCGCTGCGCTTCGGTGTTTCCAGCCCAGTGGTTGGCCTGGTGCGCTGGTGAACTGGGCGGGCCAGCGGGGACTTTTTTGCAGTCGCTTCCCTGCCAGTTGACGAAATTTTTTAGAGCCCGCCGCCGCCGCTTGTTGGATGTCGTAGGTAACCCGCCCCGTCCATCCCGTTTCCCGAGCTTCGACTAGGATTCCTGAATATTCCCAGCAATTCCTGCGTATTTTCCCTCGGCGTCTGATACCGCAGAGCCCGGGCGAGTCAATCTCGCAGTCGAATCGTGGACCTCACCGATACAGTGTAGTGGGGGGAGGTTGCACCCCGGGATACGTACCCAACGCGGTGGAAGTTCGGCGACCCGTTGTTGTTGGTGCGCCTTAGACTCTAGCTTGGCTTCGGACGGACGCAGCTCCACACGTCGCCGGCCGCAAAGAAATTCTTCCTGGAGCTTCTTTTTTCCAAGGCCCGACACATAACCCACCGCCCGACCGCGCACCTGATGATCCCGCCGATCCAGCCAAGAGCCTCAATGACGCCGTGAAACGCTTTCACTAGCCTGGAACCCAAAAAAGTCTCATATGTCCAGCTGACCACGTCTCTCGAACCTGCGGCTCCCGGGAAAATATCTTGTGTGGCGGACATCTCAGCACACGACACATCAATGACGGCCTCAACCATCCTCCCCAGGTTCCTCCTCCCGGCCCTGAGCCCCATGTGGCGCGCCGGGGCAGTGAGAGCGACCGGCGGCGCAGCTCCGGCGGCCTTCCGTGGCAATGCCGTTTGGATTGTCCGGTATGCCTCGACCGGGGGCGCGAAGGGCTCTATCGTCCTTGAGAAGCCCGAGAAGTTCAACCCACCCTCGCACGGCTCTCGCTTGCCCAAGAAGGGTCTCCCGAAGCATTATGGCGGCCGGCTGAGCTCTCAGGAGGTGCGCGCGCAGCGTGTGAAGGAGTATCCGGGCATGCCAGCCCCTGAGGGAACGTGGGCGCATTGGTTCGTGAACAACAAGGCCATTCACTTGTTCATTACCATGGTATGATCATGACCCCTCCACGGACCCTGTAACAGGCATCAATTAATCCTGGGACCAACAGGGAACCCTCACAATGTTAGCCGTCACGAGCTTGTACCTTAACTTCACCCACACATCCCCATTCAAGCACCTGCTCCCGCCAGCGTCCGAATTCTGGAGTCATCCGGTTGACTTTGTCCAGACCTGGATCAGAGTCCTCCAACTGCACGAGCGCGACCGCAATGAGAAGGCCATTGCCATGCACACCCGCCACACCGACGACGTTGCCAAACGTCAATACTACCGCAAGGAGCACGGGCTGGACAAGCAGAACCCTATTGCCAACTTCTTGGGCATGAAGGAGGGTGCTGACGAGCCGGCGCCTGTCGCTGACGCTCCACCTGTATCCCGAGCTGTTGAAACGACGCCCGCGGAGGGCGAGCCGAGGAAGAAGTGATTTGGCATCTTCTGAGGTATCACCAATGCCAGTCAGTCAGTGTAAAAGGTGGAGGACCACTTTGTGATATACCCTCGTAAAAGAAATCTGTACAACATGGCCTCTCTCAAACCAGAACCACCAGTTGGTATCATGACTTTTTGTCTTCCCCCCATGCCTTCCTGATGCACATTCAAAACGTAAACAAATACCGGTCCAATTACCCCCATAGTATCCTCCGCTCTAGGACAATTCCACTCCAGCGACGCCATCCAGCACCTCGTCTGCAATGCCTCCCTTCTCCAGCACCTTGGCAATCATAGCCTCGAGTACGTTGAGCTTGGTACCTCCTATCGGCGGCTTCCAGACGCCTTCTGCAGCTTGGCCGTCCGCAGGTGGCGGAGTCGGCGGCTGCTTCGAAGGCGTGCCAGCGAGACCGGTTGCAGGATTGTTTGAGTTGAGCACACCCGGCGCCGTCAGTCTCGAGGGCGGGTCAACGGTCCTGACGGCAAGCAGCTTCAGCTCTCTGCCCGCACCATCCACTTCCATGCCTCCAGCTCCGGCATCGGTCGCCCTCCTCTCCTCCGCGACAGACACCGCCAACGCTGACTCGGCGACCGCCAATTCCTCGCGCGCAGGGTCGAATATGATGTTTCCTCCCACAGCGATAACGAGCAGAGTGATGGGTGGCCGCGTGGTCGAAACGCCGCCACCGTCGCGAGGATACAGGAATGTCGAGGCTTCCCAATCGTCATCAAACATCGGGTCTTCGTCACCCTCTGACTTGAGACGCGGCAGGCGGGTCGCCAGCAGCGCGATGTGGGTTGTGAGGGAGAGCAGAGGTAGCGGATAGGACAGGGGCGGCGAGATCAGGAGAATCTGCAGGGCAAAAACAAGTCAGTGACAGTGACCCAGAATTGTATGAGGGGACTACAAACATCAAGATAGAGCTTCCAATGAAATCTATTGTTGATGCGCAGCTTCTTTGAGAACTCTCCGTCGGCGAGCAGCGCCTCGCTCAGCATGTTTGCCAGAAAAACGGTCGCGGCGTCATCGTCTCTCGATCCGGGAATCTCAACCGCGATCTCGAGCCAGTCATTGCGACCTCTTGCCTCCTCGCCCGCCTCTCTCAGCTTTTTCGTTTCCTCGCTGTCGTCTTCGCTGCCGAAGGGGCTGGGCGTCTTTTCGATTTCAGCCTTGGCGCCCACGATTGCTTCGGTGCCGTCGGCGAAGCACACACGTGCGCTGCCATTGGTGCCAGGGAGAATGCCCGTCTCAGCAGTGAGAGGGCGGAACTGGTTCGCTTTCCGGCCGTCTGGGCGAATTGGCGGCGTGAGAGAGAGCGTCGAGTGAAGGTAGGCAAGCTCTGCCGGGGAGAGCAGAACCTGCTGGGCCGACGCCATGGCTTCTTTTGAGAATGCTGGCTCGCTACTCTGACTATATTTCTCTTTCTTCTGGCGTCCTGGTCCGGGAACCTCCTGCAATTTTGAATTGCTGGCTCCGTAGCGAGTTGTTGAGGAGTTTCGGGTTCGAATCGCGGCAGGTAGTCGTCGCAAAAAGTTGCGTAGACTGTGATTGGATTTCACCAAGCAAATGTTCAGCAGGGACACTGCAGGGATTTGGGATGGTGGGGTCCGCGGGGTGTGGGGCCGACCGGCGCGAGCTGTCCGGATCGGTGCTTGTGGCTTACGTGCGGCTCTGGAACGACAAGCTATTGAGATGGTTGGCTTTCTTCCGGGGTCACTGGTGATTCAAACGCTATGTGGACAACTCTATTTTCTTATTATATGGTGACGGATGCGTTCCACTACCTCAACTGTGATAGTAAAGGGCCACCATATGCTGTTCCAATTGAATTGGTACGTTGAGGTAGTCAACTTAACGTGGCGTAGATGGAGTGAAACAAGATATTGTCTGCTTGGCTTTGGACGTCGCTGGCTATGTCCTTGTAAATCGTAGGTTTACTTGGATGTAACCACAAACACATTAGACGAAAATGGGAAAAAAAAAAAAAAAAAAAAAAAATGGTGACTACATCTATATTGAACTTGACCTTTGCCTTCACAATTGTTTACAGGATGGGGTATTTCACGCAATACCATTTGAGCAATTTGAACTGGCTAAGCAGCATCTGCCAAGACACATTTCCCTTCGGACCGAGACAGTATTCTTGTCTCTTCTTCCTGGGCTTTCCTGCACTCGATTGGTGGAGTGTGGAAACGTACGTCTCCTGCACCGATGGCACAGTGTGTGACGATCACTTTGAAGAAAACTGAACAATTCAGAGTAGGTATGAAAAAACCGTTGAAAGTCCTTGAGAAGCTTGAAATTAGATGGTTAGAACTTTACAGTTGACATAAAACGAAGAGAAAAGTTGCCCATGTGGCCAGTCATACGCTCTGGTTGAAAGCTGCATACCAACACATATGGTTACTCAGCTAGCACATATGCTGTTTCGTTCTACAGGACCCATATGTGATGCTCACGGCATGCAAACGAGACATATACCTGTTATCACCAGCTTTGCGACTACTAAGACGAGTCAATCAGCTGAATTATTGAAATTTGTTCATGTGCAGACGTCAAGAAGCCTTGGGTGTCCTCGCAAAGTCATAATAGACGCTACTCGCTATCTAGCCCATAGCGGCAACATCATGCTGAATAGTCATGCTGCAATGCTGTTTGCTGCTGCATGCCCTTGCCCTAGAAATTCGGATTCCAGAAGTCGATGACAAGTCCTTCCAGCAGATCAGGCCCAAGGGCCGCAATCAATTCTGCAATGCCGGCCTTCAGACAGCCACTCGTTCCGATGTCCTGGCGATGCCATGCCACTAGGTCGCCCGTCTCAAAGAGTATACCGGACCCGTCTATGCGTAGCTTAAGGTGGTCCATCTCGATCAAAGCACGAATCTCGTCCAGTGTCATGATGCCTGGCATGCCGGTGTTGAACAAAAATGTGTCGTCTTCACCATAATCATCGTCGTCGTCGTTGTCGTCATCATCGTCGTCGTTTTCATTATCAAGTTTGTCGTTGTCCTCATCCATGCTATCAGAGCTGACTTTCGCTTCACCACCGTCATTCCCTTTTGCAGACCCCCGACCTTGGCCTTCAGCCGACGGGCGTCCCTTTGCTTCCCTGGAAAGACTCAGGTAAGCCTTTTTGTCGAGCAAATCCATCACGCGTTTGTCCATGGGGTCCCATGTCAGTGTCTCTGGGTCCAAGATGTACTGAGGGTTGTAGTCCATCTTGTATCGCATCTTCGGGCAGGTATGGATGTAGAAACCTGGGTACCAGTAACGATATCCAGCCTCCCGAGCCAAAGCGATCTCGCGAATGGCACCGAGCTTTCCAGGAGCGTGCTTGTGGATAGACTCGTGGTAGAGAAAGTATACGGCGCTGACGCAGTGAGGAAGCAGATCCAATACACCGATAGCCACCAACTTGCCATCCAGCCGGTAGCATTGGTGGAACGAGCCCAGAACCTGGTCCTTGCCGTCGGCCGTCTTGACGGTTTTGCGTTGAACAGGAGACTCGCAAAGGAAGCGCCTGAACCCACGCCTTGTGATGTCTGCGGGGCCCTCCTTGTGCACGATACGTTGATAGTTCTCGTACACGATGTATTTCTCCTCGGTGAAGTCATCTTCCTCCAAAGTTACAGTAAACTTGTGAGCGGGTTCGGGCGGTACCTGCAGGGTCTCATGCTCCGCTTCATGGATCCTCTCGATCAGGTCAAACTCTGCATCCCGTTTCTTGGCCTGCTCGCGTGACCGAGGGTGGAGGCGGGCCGCTTCCGTCGTATAAGCCTCGCCAGTCACGTACTTGTTGAAACGGTTGACCGTTTGGCGCTGATCCCGGGTTGGCTTGAACTGAGTGGAGTCGAGGCGCAGAGTGTAGTGAACACAGCACGCGTGGAGTTGGTCTGGCCGATACAGAGTAGTTCCCGAACGCCTCCAGTAATGATCCAATAACGTCTGATAGTATTCCGGCGTGAGTGATGTGGCCTTGGCGTAGTAGGAGAAGCCTGAGAGGTCAACGTTCATGTTAGTGCTGATCAAATCATCTTTCTCAGTTATTTCTGCAAGTCGCCGACAACACCAGCCCACGTGCAGCCCACGTGAGAGTGGTATGCAACAACGCAAAACAACACGCCATATCATTGCAAGATGTGACATAGCGACCCGAAGTCTCGGGCTTATCACGAGGGGAGAGCAAGGGGGACGTGGGATGCAATTCACGTTTTGACTGACTCTTGCCTTGGCGGCCACAATAACCACAACGGGACGAGTTCGAATATCCTAGACCTACGTCAGTAAAAGAGCAAGGCTAATGGCTTTGAACTCCTGTTCCTCAGATGACAGAAATATTCAAAGCTAGTCCCTCAACATGGGCACTTGCTCGTGATACGTTACGTTGCTAGATTACATCTCATTGTCTTCTTGGACGACATGACTTGTTGTCTCTGCAGCGACGGCCAAGAAATGAAGAACATTCGAGTGATTATGGAGAAACCACTGTAGGGAACGCGGCTCCAACATTGATAGCAGCTAGCTGAGCGAGCGTGAAATGGACTCCCTCAGTCAGACTTGCGCATCGATCGCACAGCCTGCCCCCCTCAACGTTGACGTCGCCAAGTTGACGTCTCCGTTGTCAGGCCAGAGTTACAGCGAAGCCCTGTACGGTGGTGTGTGACACAAGAAATGATAACGGAGTGACATTGACGGTCGCAGAGACTCGAGGGGAAATGACGAGAAGGAGAAAAAAAAAGGAAAAAAAAAAGAGGGCAAAAGCAACTAAGGCAGATGTGCAGGTGACGGGAGGTCGTTTGGGGGCTTCCCCATAAAATGCCACGAGCCAACGGCAGGCTGGAAAGACTGCACGGGGGCGGATGGTTGGAGGAGAGAATAGGATGAACGACTCACCGATTGGAGTTATATAGGACAATGCATCACCAGGGGTTTGCATGCTCGTTGCGTCCATGACTGTCTGCTGCAACTTGCGCGCTCTAACGCACCAGGGAAGCAGCCAGCTGGACTAGCGCTAGACAAGCACGGAACGTTGGCTGATGGTCGTTGTAAAAGTGAATCAGGTATCCGGGAGGTAGCAGCGCGCATCGCCCGAGAGAGAGGGCTGGGGTCCTTTCTTCCTGGGGATGACGAGGATCGAGGATTGGGGTTTCCGGGAGCCGCTTTTAGCGGATGGCGATGTTTGGTAAACCGACAGAATTGCTGCAGTAGTCGAGTCGCGGGTTGTGGATGGACAGATTCCTGCGAATGGAACCCGTCGGACTGGAACACGCTGCCGTCAGGTCATGGAGCAGAGGGAAATTCGGATGGCGGGGCTCAGGGAAGCCTGGAGGGGCAGTTGTGTTGTCGTCAGACCCGGCCTGGACGGGATTTGGGGGTTTGGCTGTCTCCCGTCGTCGTTGCTGAGAGATGCAGCGCTGTAAAGTGCAGCTGGTTGGTTGTAAGTGTGACTGCACACTATTGCCCTGTTCAGCAATTTGCGCTGCGAGGCAAGACGAGAGGCGAGGCGAAGCAAAGGAATGCGCGCAGGTGTGATACAATTTGCCGTGCTGCGATGAGGCTCGCTCTAGGATGACCAAAGAAGCTTGCTAGTATCACGGGCCCGTCTGTATTTGTAGTCTGCACCGGCCAATTAACGTCGAATACATGGGGCCATGAATCCCCAAAGTGTGACGACCTTGATCTCTGCCTGGCCGTTATCCTGCCTACCTTACCTTAGCTGCAGCCAGTAGGCACTCATCCGTGGCGTAAGATATACCGTCAACTGCCAGCCCAACGTCTTGGATCGTCTTGCCTTGCCAGCGCGGCAGGGCCTGTAGGTGTGTGAGTCTGATTCGAGTACTTGCCCTTGGCCCTCTCTCGGTATTGCTTTGCACCGCGTTCTGCTTGGAAGACGCCCGTTTGCAAGTCTTTCGGAACAGAGATGGAGGCACGGATATGCAGGAGCTCGGAGCTTGGAGGACGTGTGATGCGAGCTGCCAGCGTTACCTCCCGACTGATTACTGAGTAAAATCAGGTTCTGTTTGGTTCAAGGAATTGCACTTAAGACAAGCGAGCCAGGGTATGGTGGCGGCGGCTCTGTCGGATCTGGAATGACGCGAGAGATGGACCTGACCAGGAGTTGAGATGCGATGGCGGAAGAGAAGGCGGGACGCAACACGAGGAGGAGAGGCGCACCATCAGAGAGGGTGCCGAGAAACTGACAGTTACACAAAGACTGTATCGACGTGCAAATTGCGACGCAACTCGTCGATCTCGTGGGGATTGACTGTGACGATGTGGTGTTGTTGAGTATGATTTGGGATCGGTGCAGCCGGTAGATAAGGTAGCTTGACAAAGTACAAGTATTCCTTTCCCGCAAGGCCGTTGAGATGAAGCACAGCTGCCCAGACCTTGGCGGGAGGCATGCTGCACCACCGTAAAGTACCTACCGACGCAACTTCAGTGAGCGTAGTGTGGTCCAGTAAGCTCCTTAGGTATGAACGCTGTGAAACCCCTCCAATAGTGGGCGATCCATGATTACCTACCTAGGTACCTATCGGTACCTACCTGGCACTGGAACCTGGAATATAATTAGGCAGGTAAGCACGTAAGGTAGGTAAGGGAGGTAGGCACGGGTACATGGATTGATGCTGTGTTATTGTTGCGTGGGATGGCAGTGTGCCTTACTCCTCCATGAACATGAGGATGACTTACAGAATCGAATCTTCAGAATGCCTTGGGCACATGCGAAACCCCCACAATGAGCCGTCATCAGAACACAGTCGGAAGACTGGATTGGTCTATTCTCATGTCGTCGTTTGAGAGGCCGGACCCCCTTCAGTGGTGCAGAGAGGCAACGGAGTGTGGTGGCATGCATTCCGGTAGCCTCTCCAATTCTACTTTGGACGGACTGCAGTGGATGGTTGGCTGCATGCCCCCCGAGGGGAGAACCGGATCAGTGGAACCGCTTCTGGAAGACGCCAAAGATGAACGACGGTTCATCTTGGAAGCCTGGGCTCAAGAAGGTTCCGGATTCCATACAGAATAACAGTGAAGCGAGCGGCTGATCAATGCCGTGTCTTGAAGCAACCTCTAGACCTGTCTCGTTGTTTGAACCGAACTGGCCCGCGTGGACGGGTCGAGTCTGGGCTCTGTCTTCATTGATGACTTGGATGCAACACCACAGGCGTCCGTCCACAGGCGATCATCAAGCAGAGATGCAGGCCGATATCTCCATCTGCCACGCTGTCCGCATGTCAAAGGAGGCGCCTAAGTTCCTCGGGTCCACTGACCGGTCTCTTTTGCACCCGATCTTAATTAGTCCTTTAGTGCAGCAGCCCCAGCGGCGGTTGCCAAGTCCCTGCTTTGAACTTTGAAGAGGGGGTTGATGGGGTCAGAAGGATCTTTGCTTGCATGCCGGTTTGAAGGTCATTCTTCGCTGGCTGACACAGATTCGCGTTGTAGGCGGTGGTGTACTCGCTGCAGGGTCACGCTCGTTGGTTCTCGGGCCATGGATGAAGGTGCAGACAACGGCTGTTCAAACCGACGCTCTTGCCCTCGTTTGTTTTAGCAGCGGCAAGGTATGGCTTGCATTGGACACATCTCCCAGCGATATGCTTGTTCGTTGCATCGCTTGGCTGAGAGGAGGGCGCCAAGACATGAAGCTCATGATGGGCTCTTGAGAGCATCATCATTTGCTCCAGTCTCATCACCGGCTCTGCCTTCTCAATAGAGGCGACTGAGAAACGGAAACGGAACGGCAGGGTTCGTGCCAAGAGAGGGAAACAAGGGGGCGTGGATTTGAAGCAGAAGGGCGTGATCGTGCGCGGTGTTGTCTGGTGGGGAGAGTCATTGGAGCAAGAACAGGCGAGGTTGAGAGAGTCGCTGTGTGTAGGTAGGTAGCTAATAGTTACTGGGCAGAAGGGTTTTTAGTCTTCTTTCTGGCAAGCCGCAACGCAACCTTCAGAGGCGCGAGGCAAACTCAAAGAATACGCTATCCTGACTCTGGGCTTCTAAACCTCTTTGGACAAGACCTCGGCGAAATAGAGAGGTCTTAACCACGCCCGTTCACCCGCAGGTTTCAAAGATGATGGATCTCTTGCCGTCTGGCGACAGGACTGGGAAAAGTGGTTGATGACGCGAGAGAGTTGCAGGGTCTTGAGGCCGAAGAATGTCTGTTAGTGTTGCAGAGCTTCGGAAACGGTGCGAAACCAAAACCTGAGAGAATGGAAGGAAAGAATCAGGGAGTACCTATGGACACGGGGACGGGAGCGGCAAAACGGTGGCAGGCCTGGCTGGGTACCTTGCGGATACAGGTGGGTAGGTACCTTAGGTAGGCACCTTACCTCGCGACGAGTTGGCTCCTCAGGGGGAGGACTCAGGAAGGCAGTTCTGGTGGGAAAGCAGCCCGTGCCGCTGGTTGACGGCGGGGGTTTGCTGGACACACTGCAGTGTCGTGGTGGTTGGTAACCACCTCAGGCACCCGACCCTTCCATTGGCCCGTGGATAGGTCCAAGGTGCCTGCCTACCTACCTACCTACCTACCTACCTACTATTACTGCCGGAACGGTCTTCCAGTCGCATCAAAACCCGACTGCAGCACCCCACCACTCTAACGCATTTTTGGGAACATGCCCTGCCGCAAGTGCAGTGGATGCCGAGCCTGCAGGACATGCGGCACATTTGGCACCCAATGCTTAAGCGTTGTGCTCTGCGTTGTTTGGTGTGTGGCGTTTGGCGTTTGGTGGGAGGGGCAGAGCTGGCGGCGACGAGGGCGCGGGATGGATTGTCCAGTGAAGTGAATGAAGGACTTGGCAAGGTGCGAATTGGAAGACCGGGTTCCATGTTCCATGTCCTGCTCGTACCTAACCAAGATGAGTGATCTTCCAGGTCGTATGAACGGGATACAGGCCTGACACTGACACGCCGAGCACCGCGAGAAAGCGCTGGAACACTGGGTCTACTAAGTAGCTGGACCAGCCTGGGACCTGGGACCCAGGACCCCCATCGATCGTCAGCTTGCTGGGCCGGCGGGG